GCCAGCGCCTCAGCACCCTCACAGGGAAGAGCTTCTGCCTTATCTCCAACCTGAATTTCCCCTGTTTCCATTTGAACCCATCACCCCTTGTCCTATCGCTACAGTCCCTGATGAAGAGTCCTCTCCAGCATCCTTGCAGCCCCCTTCAGACACTGCTCTGAGGTCTCCATGCAGCTTCCAGCCCCAGCTCTCTCAGCCTGTCATGACTTTCATCCTAAGGGCTTCTATAGGTGTCTTACCTCCCTGCAGACCTCTCTGCTCTGTTGGAGAGCTCCTTGGCTGGACCTGTGCATCTCAGCATCTTCGTGACCAGCGGGAAGCATGACTGCAGGGATGAGTGTCCCGCAGCAACATGTGCCAGGGATGCAGAAACTTCCTGGCCCAGGGAGAGGAAGTATTGGCCTCGGACGTCAAAGAGCACACGACAGGCACAGAGCGGAGCTGCATAGAGATTTGACAAGTGAAATACATCATCTGCAGGGCCCCAGGGGAAGCTGGCGAAGGGGAAGTGAGTGGCCTTGAAGGAGGAGCACAGCCATGGGGACAGGAAGCCTGGCAGGGCTCACAGGGCACCATGTACTCAGCTCTCAGGAGCTGTGCCAGTGCCTCAGCACCCTCACAGGGAAGAGCTTCTGCCTAAGAGCTCAGCTCAGTCTCCCCTCGGGCAGGTTCAAGCCATTCCCCTTGCCCTGTCCCTACATCCCTTGTCCCAAGCCCCTCTCCAGGTTCCTGCAGCCCCTTCAGGCACTGGAGCTGCTCTAAGGTCTCCCCTTCAGGAGCCTTCTCTTCTCCAGGCTGCCCCAGCCCAGCTCTCTCAGCCTGGCTCCAGAGCAGAGCTGCTCCTGTCCTCTTTCCTTTCTCTATTCAGCAACACCTGCAATTATCAGCCTCTTTCAGCCTGCCATCTCCTGAGTGCTGCCCCATGACAGTGCAGACCCCACAGAGCTTGTGACAAGAACCGTGCTTTCCTCAGTGCCTCTTCACAGCCCCAGAGCCCGGCACCTCAGCATCACAAACCCCAAACTCCCCTGCATTAAGAGCAGTGGGAGCCCAGCTCCTGGGAGCAGCTGGGTGCCCAAGGCTCTGGTGCTCCCCACACACAGCACATCACCACAGTGAGCTCTAGGCAAAGCAGAGGCAGAGCAACCCAGGCAAAGCCCCCTCCCTGCTCTCCCCCACATTACCAAGAGCCACTGGGGGGTTAAATCCACACTGGTGTCCCTGTACCAGCACCCATCAGGGAACACAAGCACCCATCTCAGGGCTCATCCCGATGCTGTCAGGTTGTCTTCAGCTCAGCCTGACCCAATGGGGGTTAATCTTAAACCCCTCCATGTCCCAGGCTGAGTCAGAACTCGGTTCCTAAGCCCCAGCAGGACTGAGTCAGCGGCATCTCTCCTCACTGCTGACATCCCAGATAGCAAATATCACTCACACTGGACCACAGCCAGCGCAGGGACAGCCAAATCCCTGTCTCCCACCGGCGTATCTAAGCATACATCTCCATCAGAAAGCACAATACCTCTCTCCCCACCCCAGAGGAAAGGGAAAACTCAAGAGGAAACAGAAAAAGCTGATTTTTAGGGTTTTTTTTCCCTAGGTCGGTCTGTAATGTGGGCGGTTGGGTACCTTTGGAGGTGGCGCTCAGCAGTTAATCCTCTGGCTGCTTGGCATCCTTTACTCTCCAGGTGCTCATAGGTGCAGGAAGCCAACAGAGGCCCCTCTGTTGCCTCCCAGAGCAGCGCTGCAGCCCTCACTCCCTGCCTACTGCAGCGTTCCATTCTCCTCCTCACAGGGAAGCTCCATTCCTGCTCACACTGAAAAACCAATCCCAGTAAAATAAAACAAGTCTAAAGCCAGCAAATGGGACTTTCTGGCACAGGATCAAGCGGCAGCAGCTGGATACCTTCCACTAGCAAACCCTTTACCACCACTCTTTGCTCCAGCAGCTCTCGTGTTCCCCTGAGCACAGTTGCTTTCGCTGGGTGGAACAGGAGCCACGGCCTCAAGAGCCACCAAGGTGGATGCAGCAGAAGGGCTGCTGCTGCTGGAGGCCCCATAAGCCAATGAAGAGTGAATGGCATGAGGATCACGAGATGTACCTGAGTAAATAGGAACATCTGGAATCCCTTCAGGACCTGCTGGCACTGGGATGGACAGGAGCAGTGCAGGAAAGACACCCCAATGAGATAAGCATTTAGGAATGGAGTAAATAAGTCAGAAAATGATGACTTGGTAAATCAAGAGGTGCTTGACACAGGAGCTGTTTGGCTGCAGCATTAGTGTTACCCTGCTCTCTGTAACAGCGTGTAACTGGGAAACGTGGGGCTGGTTTGGAAGAGCTGCTAACAGGTAGTAACTGGATGGGATTTCTCTTTCCGTTGTGTGGAACTCAGTGGGATCCCCATGGAGCTCCAGCCCTGCAGCTCACCTGGTCAGCAGCAGCAATACACACCTCCTTTGGTTCAGACATCGTGTGCTTGTGGCCTTCCCCCACTGGCCACAATTCATGGCCACGTCCTCCTGCAGCTCCTTGCTCCCCATCACCTCCGGTCGCTTCCTCCCGTTATCTGTAGCTGAGCTTCATGAGCTTTGTGCCAGAACACGGCAACCAGCTTTGTGCTCTGTGCTGTCCACGTTGTTTGACCTCAGTGGGCAGCTGAAGGCACGGCTGCACCTGGAAGTGGATGTTCCTCCACCAGCATCACTGACCACTCATGGGAGAGGGACCAGGAAACACCCCATGGCAAAGGCAGCACCACAGAGGGGAGGTGAAGTGCGCAGGCAATGATGCCAAACGCTATCAGAAAACCCAGGAACTCAACCTCAGCAGCCAGGATGTGGGAAAAGAAGAAGAGAAAACACTGAAGTGCCCCAAAAAGGGAAAGAACCCAAGGAAGTTCTGCAGTCACCATCTGAGGAAGAGGAAATGGGTAAAACCGGAGGAAACCCCTGGCATGGAGTGGACGCATCAGCCCCAGACAGGCCAGGACCTGGTGAAAGCAGCTCTATCTTCACATGCAGAGGTTGAACAGGAGCCAGGTTCCACACTGGAGGTGGAGCGTTGCTGAGCGCCCGCTGTGAGAGGCAGGAAGCTGGGGAAGGCTTCCTCCAGGAGGGAGGGATCAGAGGGAAAGGAACGTCTCAAGGTGAAGCCCTTCACCAGGCAGGGCAGGGAAACGACACCTTCTTGTGAGCATAAAGGCCAGTTTCAGAAGAGCCCAACCGGAGCCTGTGACTCTGCTAGAGCAAAGAAAGGGAATGACAAAGGGAAGAGCATTTACTTGCAAGTCAAGAACTCCCCAGCCACCACCACGGACTGCAGGAGAGTCAGAAATGAGCATTTACCTTCCTGCAGGGACACGTCAAACACCAAAGAGCCGCATGAGGGATAAGGGGATGCTCTTTGCAGAACCAAGGTGTCTCCCCAGCCCTTCTCCCTGCTCTGGTGTGTTATCCCTGTCAATTTGCCTGGCGTTTTTGCTTTAAGGCTTGTTTCAGGGTGACACATTCCCCCAGCTCACACAAGGAGCCAGTTTAATACAGGAGGCTGCATGTATGTTGCTTCCAGTTCGTTCCACAGGCTCTTTTGTGGAAGATGTGCCTTATCTTGTTCCGGACACCGCTTCAGTGCTCCAGTCGGGAATGCTCCCAGCGGAGCTGCTCCTGTGCACCAGGAGATAAGGACTGCTCATTACTGACAACACAAAGCCCAAGCAGAGGCTCAGAGGAAGGAGGAGGCAGCAGCGGTGTCACAGAGGGCTCAGACACACAGAGCACAAGGGGCAGCTCCGGCAGGCAGCAGGGAGCTCCCAGCTCCTCAGCAGGAGCCTGCAAGGCTCAGAGCAGCGTCTCTGCAGCACTGCCACCCTCCGGCTCGGGAGGAAAGGCGACTTTCCTGGCACAGAAACGGCTGGAGGCCCAGAGCAACCCGGAATTGATCACCCCAGTGCCGAGGAGAGAGCTGGCAGGAAACCTGGATGTGGAAGTTGCCATCGGTGAGCGGAATCTGCACAACAGAACCCTTGGGGTAGGCAGCTGGAGGAGTTGCTGTCTGGCTGCCAGCCCTCAGTTCACTTGCAGGGACCACAAGGACCACGGATGGCGGCTGGTTGTCACCTCAGCCCTCTGATGGCACTGGCTAACCAAGGCAGAAGAGCACACAGAACAGATGGAGTCTGTCTGGGTTTAGGCGCAGATCCCATCCAGCAGTCAGGAAGATGTTATCCCAGGCCCCTAAAATGGCACAAGGTACAAGAGCAAGGCCAGGTTGGATGGGGCTTGGAGCAAGCTGCTCCAGTGGAAGGTGCCCCTGTCCATGGCAGGGGTTGGAACTGGATGAGCTTTAAGGTCCCTTCCAACCCAACCCAGTCTGGGGTTCTATGAACTCCTCTAAAGAATGACTCCAATGAGTGACTTCCCCCAGGGCAGTTACTGAGCTCCAGGGTAAATCCCCTTTCTGAGCTCCCTTTGCACAGGTTCACACTGATTACCAAGTGGTCATAAAGCACCAAGTGCTGCAGATAAACACCTTCAAACCACTGCTGAGACTGAATCTCACTGAGCTGCAGAGGGCTGAAGGGAAGCCAGAGCAGGCACTGCATGCACACCACGAGAACCAGCCATCATTAGAAAGGCTCAAACGCTGCTTTCCTCTTTTGTGGGCTTTTAATGGCAATTTTCACAACAACTTACAGACTCCTTGTTACTCACATTATGTCTCCAGTTAGGAATGAACAGTGAAGGGAATTCAGCGCTCAGTGGAGGAACTGGGGTGAAACTGCCCTTTGTTGAGGTCTGGAATCTCCTCCCGCGTTGTGCATTAATACAGGCGGCCAAGCGAGTTCCTCACGCTGAACCTGCCTGACCTGCTGCACCGACCTGCTGCCCTGGCCCAGCCTGCACCTCCCAGCCCTACCGCTTGTCCTCGGTGCCCACGAGGGGACCTGGGAGCTTCAGAGCACTGAGGGTTGGACTCACAGCGCAGGGCTCCAGCTGGGATGCTCCAGCCCTGGGCATGGCAGCGGCGCAGCCTCTCCGGATGGGATGGTGCCGGATCAGTTCCCACTCGGCTGATGTCTGGAGGCCCACGGTTCCACACAGCTCTCCAGTTCTGCTCCGAGGGCAGCACTAGGGCAGTGAGCACGTTGTGGGCTGGGGCAGTGCCCTGGCACAAGGCTATACATGGCAACTTGTACGTATGACTATTACCAGGCCCTTAATGAAAGCACCTGGAGGATTCAGTTCAAAGGAGAGAAAGATGCAGAGACCCGAGTCCAAAACACAACCAGCACAACAGAGTGAAGCTGGACAATTCCAGCTGTGCAGCTACACTAGCCCTCAGCAGAGGAAATAAATCAAAGGGTCCTACAGGCTTGACTTTTCCCACCTGAGCTGTTTCCATCATCTCAGTAATTCACCTCTCAAAACAAAACTTGCTTTCCAGTAAGACAGACTCCATTTGCCTTTTAGTTGCAGTCGCTTTGTGCTGATTCAGCTTTGTGCCTTCTTGGAAAGGAAAGGTCAGCAGCAGAGCTTCAGAGAATGCAGTACAGCAAATTCAAGCGGCAGCCTGGACTGCAGGAGGAAGGGCAGGAGGAGCAGGCACTGCACTTAACACCCCTGAGTCCTGCTGGGGGAAGGAAAGTCAGGATTTCCTCTCTGGAAAAGCCCAAGTGTTAAACCTGGCACCCCACAGCGAGCAAAGCCTTCCCTCCACAACCATTATCAGAAGATCACCCATTCTCATATAGTTTCTAGTTAAAGTGAGAAAATAGAGCACTTTACAGCAGTCCCTGGAGGAGAGGGAAGAGCCAAAGGACTGTGATGAGCAGTCTGCTGGGAACTCTGGACAGAAGCTGCTCCTTGGGAGCTCCCTTCCCCCTCACCTTCCTCACCCCTCTCAAGGCAGTAACACAGCCCACAAAGGTAACTCAGCTCAGCTCTCCTGGAGAACCTGTGGCATGAGAGGCTGCAGCTCCTTTCCAAATGGATTCATCTCATTTATTTATTTCCAAGTCCACTGATCATCCTCACAAAAAAAAAAAAAAAAAACCCAAAACCAACAAAAAAAACCCCATGGGAAATGCAACTAAAGAGAGAAATAAAGTCCAACCGAGACCTAAGAACCCAGAGCTACGAGGAGGTGCGAGCCTGCGCGGCACAGCGGGGTCCTTATGTCAACCGCTGGACGATGACAGCGTTGAGCAGGTTGGCTTCCTTCAGGGTCTGGTTCTCGTCAGTCAGCTCTTTGTTGGGGAAGGTGGTCATGAGGATGAAGCTGGTGGCAGCCATCGCTGGCCGGGCATCTACTATGAAGAGCCGGATGTCACGGATCCTGTTCAGAGGGATGAGACACATGAGGATGATCCTGTTATTGAGCATCCTAAAACCACAGCGACAGCCTGAATTCAACTTCCCAAAGTAGGCAGCCCTGCAGCTGCTGCATTTGGCTTTCAGCTATCAACAGAGGCCACAGCCAGTAAAGAAGCTGAACTGGGAGTCAGAATAACTGGAACAAGTTCGCAGTTATCTGACAGTTTATAAAGCCCTTAGAAGAGATGCAGGCTTTTTAAGTGACAGTAAGGAAAATGCCTCTGATAGTACTGATGCTCCCAGGTGCAGTATCCCTGGCTATAATCCATCATGACTCAGAAAGCAAATCCAATCCTTCCAACAGTTAACAACTGCCTTAAAACCCCACAATGATTTCACTCCTCTTCACCTATACAGAAGGATCCCCAGAGCTCCCTTCAGCGGGCTGGCCAGGAGTTTAACCTCAGCTCCCTCTGTGCACAGCCCGCAGTGCCATCCCAGCCTTCCCAGTCAGTCACCTGTGATTTACACTGTGTCTGTACCTGTGGTTGTGGTTGAACTTCTGCACCAGGCGCCCGCCGTCAGCGAGCCGGATCTGGATGTTGGTGACAGGCTCTGACTCGTCAATCACGATGGCAGAGCTGGCTTTGGCTTCATTGGCTGCCTGCTGGGCTGGGGAGCTGGTGCCCATCACCTGGGGTGCACTGCTGAGGGCAGGGAGACACAGGGTGAGCTGGTAAAACCCAAATGAGCCACTGGGCCCACTGCCAGAGGCACCAACACAACTGGAGATGAGGATGTAGGAGTCAGCTACTAGCAGGAGCTTGTCTAGAACATCCCCTACATCACTCTGGCATCCTGGGTCTTCACACCCCCATAGGAAACATGGGCAGTGTAACTTGGAGACACATCCCACAATGGCTCCAAACTAGGGATTCACCTCCTGGCCTGGAAAGGCTGAGCCACCTCACAGGACGTGCCAGTAAACCTCATTTCCTCTGTGTGAGGAACACCTCCCACACCACAGGCACTGACAGATGAATCACCCCAGCGAAACTCTGGCGTGCCACTTTTACATCACACACAAAGCAAGCTCCTTGCTGGGGAGCTGCTGCCTTCTCACCTGCCCAGCTTCTGTCCTTCTCCAGTGAAAGCTTTGAAGACACTTTTGGGTTTCACATACTCCTCGTCGCGGTGATCCTCCATGTCCAGGTTCACCTGCGCACCCCGCGCCAGCCTGCGCAGCTCGGCCGGGACCTCCCTGCAAAGAGACTGTCCTGAGGCTGCTGCCCTCCAGAAGCCAGCTGGGAAAGCACAGAGGGAAAGCACCAGCCACAGACCTCTGGGGTTCTGGGAGCTGCAGTGGGCTTGGGCTTAACAGGGCAGAGGCACAGCTCCCACTACCAGACAGGGAATAAAGGTCACCTTTCCCTAGCCCTCACCTGGACTGACAAAATGCATCAGAGATTCCCAGCCCAAATACTGACATTTGTTCACTTCAAGCTCTCCAGGCCCCACCCAAACCAAAGCCAGGTCCCATTTATCCAAAGTAAGTGTTCAAGTCTCCCCTTCCATAGTTCCCATATTAATCCAGCTCAGGTGAAACGTACCACTGGTTCAGCATCCTGGATTCCACAAGCACTTCTGTTGCAGAAAACAGCTATTCTTTCCCTCCCCTCTCCCTACATACCCTCTGCGGATATCATCAAGAAACTGGGCATTGGATGGATCCTGGTAGCTCCTCAGTTCTCCACTATCCAGACTGAACCCACTCTTCCAGAGCTTCAGCACAATGTGGACCTGCAGCAGCCCCAAACAAGAGTCAGCCTCACTGAAACAACTCGGTAAGAATGATAACAGATGCAAACTGAAGTGCTCCAGACTGGCAGAGGCATTTCATGGTGCAGAAAACATTCCAGCCAGGTTCCTCTGGCTTGAGGGAAAACCCCAAAGCTCTGGTATGTAACAGCCATGCAGCAGTTCCTAGGAGGTGACACTGCAGATGCTGTCTGATAAATGAGGTTGGAAAGCCAAGAGTGTGCCAGGAGAGGAGCCAAAATCAAGCTCCCACCACAGCCTAGGTGGGTATCTGGTCACAAACCAAGCACAGGAGAATCCTGTTAGCTCCAAATCTCTCCATGGTTATGAAGAGTTAATCACCCAGCGCTCTAATAAGCATCTACCATCTTCTAACCAGAAATCCCACCAAGAAGCAGGATCTACCATTCTTCTGTCCTGGATTTCTACAGGGCTTTGTAACTCTCAGGCTCTCAAGCTGTGCAGCTATGGCAGAGGAATCCCCCAGCTGACATTACAACACCAAACTGATTGATACTCACATCCTGAGCAGAGTTGTGTCTCCTCTCTCCTGCCACGTAGGCAGACTCCTCCTCTGGAGTAGCACCAAGGCGATACCCTCCCCCTGCAAAAGGCTGCAAGAGAGAGGCAGCAAATAGGTTATAGAATAGCACAAACCAGGACACAAACCCAGGGCAGCTTTGCTTCTCTTTCCCCAACACTGCTGTGGCTGAACAGGGGCTGTGAGGCATCAAGAACAACTCTGGTCCCCCCACAGCGACCAACTTGAGCAAGTTAATGAATACAGCACAAGAAAGTGCCTCTTCTTGCCACGGTGATACACGAGTTGGAGCTGCACTAAAAGAACCTTTACTGTCCTTTAAAGACAATTCCAGGACTCCACAGTAACTGACACAGGGAACAGAAGGAAGAACTCACTTTAGGCTTGCTGGTCTCGCCGCCGCTCTTGGCCGTCCGGTCAACTGCTACAGCACCGTGTTCCTTCGCTCCTTTGAACAGATCCTCCACCAGCTCATTGGGGCTCTTCTTCCTCGGGGGACCAACGATCTGCTGCCCACTCCTCTCTGAGCCACCAGCATAAAACCTGGCAGACAGCACAGGGGGAAATGTGCTCACCTTGTGTTCCTGGGCACATCAGGACGGCGCTGCTGCTTCTGCAGGAGGCGTGTGTCACAGCACCCGGCTCTGTACCAGTGTTCACTTGTCTGGGTTTTGCAGCTTAATGGAACAGCTTGGATCTACAAATACCAGCTACTACCAGCGTGTCTCTACTGGGGTCACTCACAAGTACGCACTGTACTCTCTTCACAGAGCCATAGAATGAATGGTTTGGGTTGGAAGGGACCTTAAGGCTCATCCAGTTCCAACCTGGCCTTGAGCACTGCCAGGGATGGGGCAGCCACAGCTTCTCTGGGCACCCTGTGCCAGCGCCTCAGCACCCTCACAGGGAAGAGCTTCTGCCTAAGAGCTCAGCTCAGTCTCCCCTCGGGCAGGTTCAAGCCATTCCCCTTGGCCTGTCCCTACAGGCCCTTGTCCCAAGCCCCTCTCCTGCTTCCCTGCAGCCCCTTTAGGCACTGGAGCTGCTCTGAGGTTTCCCCTTCAGGAGCCTTCTCTTCCCCAGGCTGTCCCAGCCCAGCTCTCTCAGCCTGGCTCCAGAGCAGAGCTGCTCCAGCCCTCGCAGCATCTCCTTATGTCAGTTACTGTAATGCTATCCTTGCTCAACAGCAATAAGTAGGTAACTCTCTCAGACCCAGCGAGAGCAGCAGCCCAGACTGACAAGGCTCAGTTTCAAATGCCACCACCAGCTTTACTTCCAAGCTCAACAAGACTTCCAGCAACCCCGACCTGTCAGATGGGAGAAGGTGGGCAGTGTGAGGGAAGGCACACACACGTTCACGCCACACTGACAGATTCCCACACACAGAACGGATCTGAACTGGAAGCAGTGAATGCACTCAGTGAAGTGCAATTAAGTACTTCTGGAAGACTGGGTTTATTAGCTTCCAGATGGCTTGTAAGACAAACAGAGCAAGCCCACATCTGTTTGCAGAGACCACGCAGTCTACTGAGGGCTGAGCCATCACAGCTCTATTCCACTTCCATCGCCTGTTAACCCTGAGGGTATCCATCTACTTGGAGCTGAGACAGTAACCAGCTTCCCCAGCAGTACCATGCTCCCACTGGAAAGGGGACCACGTTTTTCTACTCTGAACTTAGGGCTTTCACCTTCTGCCTTAAGCCCCCTCTCACCAGCAGAGCTCAGCAGTGAAATCTGGTGCTCACACAGCCACGCTCAGCACCTGCTTGGGACCAGACTCTGCATGGACCAAACCTGCCCTGCCAAACCTGAGGTTTTTCACTGTAGGAGTTTCATATCGACTCCAATCTGCTTCTTACAAAGCCCTGGACAGAAGCAGCAAGTCATCACAGCAGGGCAGGGATGAACACACAGGTTTTGAATCTCCAAGCAAGAACTTACCTCTGCCCCTCCTCCTCTTCATCATCATCCTCCTGTGCATGAACAAGGTCTCGAAACGACGTTACTCTGTGGTCACTGCAAGAGGCAGTCAGAGAAGCGCATCACCCTCATGACACAGCAAAACCATACAAGCAGAACCTCTGGGTTGATGCTGTTCTGCTTGAGGCTGTGATTCATTACTCGATGAAATGACAGGGCAGTGCTGCCCTGTGTGTAACCACGTGGGGACCTGAGCCCCTGGGCCTCTCTGCCAATGACACCAACACCAGTCAAGAGGAACTGGGTGCACTGGATGGGGGCTGCACCAGAGGAAGAGCGGGGAGTCCTCAGTCTGTTCACAAACTGCATTTTGCCACCTCTTCCAAGGTGACAGAGCCCTCCTCCAGCCCCCACGTCCTTCCCCTTTGGTTCTTTCTGCTGAGGCTGTTATCCGTGATCCAAACTGCAGAGCTCCTCTGCAACACAGGCTTTGTTCACCAGAGCCTGAACCAAGAGCGCTTCTCCCTCACAACAGAGTGAGTAACTCCTCCTTTTTAAACCCAAGCAGCGTTTCCCTGCTGCTCAGGGATCTGGCAAGGCAAAACTAACTTGTAAAATGGATCAGGTGCCACCCAACCTTAGAACGTTCCCATGGAGGCACAACCTGCTCGAATGAAAGCATCACCAACCGACTGCCTTTGACCTCAAGAGACAAATCAAGTGTTTCCTGAGCACTGAGGCAAGCTGCAGAGCTGATCTTTGGCTTAGTTGTGCAATGACCTCTGTGCTTGCATTTATAAATCCTGGGGTTTTCACAATGCCCAGGGAGCCAGGAGGTGAAGCAGGTCTAACCACAGAGCGACTAACACACATCAGGGCTTCAGATACAGCTGAGGCTTTATGTGAATCCCAGCCTGGTTTGGGTTGGAAGGGACCTTAAAGCTCCTCCAGTTCCAACCCCTGCCATGGGCAGGGACCCCTTCCACTGGAGCAGCTTGCTCCAAGCCCCATCCAACTTGGCCACCATCCACCAGTACAGCTCACTCACCACCGCAGGGTGAGCCAGCTCTCACTGTCACACAACAAAGAGCTCCCTCCTCACCTGGCTGAAGAGCCTCTGGATATGGAGCTGGCTGTCGGCTGGGGAAGGGTCAGGATGTCCTCGTCCCCCCCGTCCTCATAGAAACTGGCGAGTGCAATCTGCAAGGGAACACAGGTGGGAGCAGCCATTCCCCAACAGCAGCAAAGCCTCACACAGACACCGCAGCTGCAGCCCTAAGGCACATCACACCGAAGATGCTCCATGTCGTTCCCTCCTTTGAGGGCCTTGCTAAGAGGAGCCCTTGGCAGCTCCTAATGCTCGGCTTTGCTGCGGGAGGGCACGGGTAGGTCAGAGGAACCTCGCTCCTTCTGGGCTGTTTCTACGGGGCCCAGGCTGAAAGCACTGCTCTGACCCAGCTGCTCCTGCGACAGCCATGAGCAGGCTCCGACTTCACCCCAGCCGGCTCGCAGACAGGGGCAGGCCAGGCCCGTTCTGTTTGCCCCGTGTCCTGAGGGGAGCTGGGACCGCCGCTGCCCGGGCTCCTCACCCCGCGCTACACAGCAGCGCCGTTCGAAGTAACGAGCGAACCAGGCCGGGCTTCGGCCCCAGCCGGCACCGCCTGAGCACGACCCTCGTAGCCCTGCGGCTGGGAAGCGGCCGCAAGGTGAACCCTGAGCGGGGCCCCGAGCGCCGGCCCAGCGCTGCTCCCCCCCCACCTCCTTCACACCGCCCCGGCCCCGGGCCGCGCCGCTCGCTCCCGGCTCAGGAGCCCGGCGCTACCTGCAGGTCCCAGCCCGCGGACTCGAGGAAGAACCGCGCCCGCCCCTCCTCGACACCGGTCACAGCCACGAACTCCCTCAACGCCTCCTCCCGCTCCGCCATCTTGCCGCGGTGCAGCGCCCAAACACCGCCGGTACCCGCGCAGACACCGCCCGGCCCCGCCGTGTGCGCCGCTAAACCCGGCCCGGGAGGAAACGGCACCCCGGCGCAGCTCTGCCCGTCACAGCGACCCCTGGCGGCGCGGGGGTGCGATGCGCCGAGCCCCGGCCGAGGCAGGGAGCGGCAGCGCGGAGCGGCACGGGACAGCCCGTACATCCCAGCCCCTTTATTTCCAGGTACGGACTGACAGCAGCCGAGCCCCAGGACCCGCTCCGGGCACCGGGAGCCGAGGATCAAGGCGCTGACATGGAGGGGGATAGGGCAGCATCCTTCAGCCACTTCACAGCGATTTCCCTGGGGAAGAACCCCCCGGCCGTGCAGGTGAAAGGCACCGATTGCCCCGGCCCTGCTCTGCTCTCCGGCCCCCACACCACCGGGCTGCTGGGTTTGGCTGCGGGAGAAGAGGAGCAACGGGGCCGTCAGACCGGGCTCTGCCAGCCCTGCGCGGCCCCGGGGCTCCCATGGGGGCATGGGTATGGCCAGGGGTGACCCACGGGACCTGCTCCTGGGGCAGCACCGAGCCCCTTCTGCTCTGGGAGCCCCACTCACCGTACACGGACACCTCGGTGCCCTTTCCGTGCTGAAACACGATCACCCCACGCACAGACTTGTCGTACTTCACGCAGTAATAGGTGCCAGCATCCTCGGGGTGAACATTCCTGATGTGGATGGTGAAGTCTGTGTCGGACCCAGTCGCTGTCCTCATCACACGGGGGAACGTGCCCGTCTGGTCATAAATGGTCTCATTCTCACTGCCCCAGCCCTTCAGCCACTTCACAGGCCCAATGGGACCATCTCCAGATGTGGTGCAGTTCAGGGTGAGCGTCTCCCCCGCTGTCACTGACACATTGCCCTGGGGCTGATGCAGCTTGAAGCCCTGAACCTCCTGGGCACCGGTACCTAGGGGGGAGCATCAGAGCACATCACATCTGGCACCGCACACCCGACCGGGTTCCCTTCCACAGCCCCGGACCAGGCTGAGCACAGAGCTCTGGGTAGTGGGGACCAGGGTAGCAGGGAGCCCAGGGCAGTGATTGCAGGCACGGAAGCATCAGACACCTCTGTGCTCCCAGCCAGGCAGAGCTGTGCCAGTGAACACCCGGGGTGCTCAGAGCAGCTCAGACTCAGGCACAGCCGCTGCCTCCCATCGCCACTTCTAGAGCCCCACTCACCCGGGGATCTGTGGAGCAGGAGCAGTGTCAGGCAGGCGAGAGGCAGCGCCTGCATCTCTGGGGCCCTGGTACTTCCCATGTCCAGCTCCCGACGGCTCAGCCCGGCCCGGCTCGGCCCTGTCCGGCTCGGCTTGGCCCGGCCCGGCCCGGCCCGGCCCGGCTCGGCCCTGTCCGGCTCGGTTTGGCCCGGCCCGGCCCGGCCCGGCCCGGCTCGGCCCTGTCCGGCTCGGCTCGGCCCGGCCCGGCTCGGCCCGGCCCGGCCCGGCTCGGCACGGCACGGCACGGCTCGGCACGGCTCGGCACGGCTCGGCACGGCTCGGCACGGCTCGGCACGGCACGGCACGGCTCGGCTCGGCACGGCTCGGCACGGCTCGGCTCGGCTCGGCACGGCTCGGCTCGGCACGGCTCGGCTCGGCTCGGCTCGGCTCGGCTCGGCTCGGCCCGGCTCGGCTCGGCCCGGCTCGGCCCGGCTCGGCTCGGCCCGGCTCGGCCCGGCCCTGTCCGGCTCGGCTCGGCGCTGGGCTCCCTCCTGGCAAAGGGGAAGGAAGGGCCCCGCCTCTGTGCGAGCTCCCCCAGGGAGCCCTTGCCCAAGCCGCCGCCGTTCACCGCGGTGCCGACACCGCCTCGTGCCACCAGCCCGGTCCTCGCCCGCGGTGCCGGTCTCGCTGTCCCCACCGCCGTGTGCCACGGCCACGGCACGGGGCAGGCAGCGACAGGGCCCCCCTCTATCCCGCTGCCCCACGCGTGGCCAGCCCGGGAGGGCGCCCAGAGCTCCCCCTCAGGACCGGGGCTCGGGCTGGGCTCTCCGGCAGGCTCCCGGTGCCCGCTGCCCGGTGAGGATGGAGCCCGTCGGGGGTCCCCGCCCACGCCGGGGCTGGCGCAGCCCGCGGCCGCTCGCTTCCATTTCCTGTGCCGCTTCTCCTTCTCCTCCTCTTCCCGCAGCCGGTGCCCATGGCCGGCCCCGCCACCGCCGCTCCGCTCCCGCCCGGGCAGCGCAGCCTCGTCCCGCCGGGACCATCGGGTGAGTCCGGAGCGGGGCTGCGGTTCCCCCCCGTTCCTGCTGCCCCGGGGCGCTGCGGGGAGCGGGGTTCCTCCTCCGACCGCCTTTGGGGCTATTGGGGCAAGCGGGACGGGCAGCGCCCGTAGAGAGGGGCTTTGACAGGAGGGGTTGGGGGCGGGAGGCGTTCGGGGACGGGAGTTTGGGGCTGGGGAGGTCCGGGGGCAGGAGTCGGGGGGCAGAAGGAGCCTCGGGGCTGTGCTCGGCTCCAGGGCTGCTCCTCCCCGCTCAGAGCCGGCTCCCGGCTGGTTGCGAGCCCAGTTCCTCGCAGAGCGCCGGCGGTCCCGGTCCGTGGCACACAGCGCTGGGGAGTTAAGGTTTAACAGCGCTCGGGAGCATTTCCTGCCAGGAATTCCCCTTGGCTCCCTCTGGGCTCCAAGCAAGCACAGTGCTCTGGTAGCAGCCCGACAGCGGATGCGTGTTTGCCCGTTCTTGTTCATTTTGAACGTGGTTTCTGCCACTCCCGGCGCCTGCGGCTTCTCTCTGCCAAACCCTGCGATGGTTCTCAGCTGAGCTGCTGCAAACCCGGCTCAATCTGGGGCTGCTCTGGGCTGAGAGGAGCCCCAAACCCTCCTGTCCTGTGCCCAGGTGCGGGTGCCCAGAGGGCTCAGAGCTTTCAGCTGCATCAGCCCCAGGTGAAGCTGTCGGTGGCAGCGGGGGAGACGCTCACCCTGACCTGCACCACGTCTGGATCTGGTCCCGCTGGGCCTGTGAAGTGGCTGAAGGGCTGGGGCAGTGAGAACAAGACCATTTACGACCAGATGGGCACGTTCCCCCGTGTGACGAGGGCAGAGAGTGGCTCCAACACGGACTTCACCATCCACATCAGGGACGTTCGCCTCGAGGATGCCGGCACCTATTACTGTGTGAAGTACCAGAAGTCTGTGCATGGGGTGTTCGTGTTTCAGCATGGAAAGGGCACCGAGGTGTCCCTGAATGGTGAGTGAGGCTCCCAGTGGGATGCTGCTCCCCAGGACCCCATCCCACAGCCTCCACCCTGCCCACTGCCTCGCACCCACCACCCTCTCTTGTACCTCCGCAGAGGCAGCCCTGGCTCCCAGCATGGTGGCTCTAGCTGCAGTGCTGTGCTTCCTCCTCCTCGGCTTCTTCATCGCCCTTTGCATGTACAGGAGGAAGTCCAGAGGCGAGGCAGAGAGCCGGAACCCGGCCGGGCCGGTGGCCAGAGGCAGCTTCTTGCCCATCCCTCTGCAGTGCTGTGCAGGGACCCCCAGGTTTGTACTCATCATTCTGCACCCTGAGAACTGCTTTATCCACCCCCTTATCCTGGCTTCCTCTCCCGCTGGAGCAGTGGTTTTCCCCAGAAAAGCTCCTTTACCCACAGGCACAGTTGGATCTAAGGAGGGAATTCTTCCCTGTGAGGGTGGTGAGGCACTGGAATGGGTGCCCAGGGAGGTTGTGAATGCTCCATCCCTGGCAGTGTTCAAGGCCAGGTTGGACGGAGCCTTGGGTGCCATGGTTTAGTGTGAGGTGTGCGTGCCCATGGCAGGGGGGTTGGAACTCGATGATCTTAAGGTCCTTTCCAACCCAAACTATTATATGATTCTATGGTTCTATGGGTGGGAGCTCCCTGCAGCCCCTCACTGCAGTGTCTGAGCCCAGCCCAGGCCTACAGGCAGCATCCCGGCCCTCTCTGCCTTCAGTGTGGGCATTGTGTGGCCACATGCTGCAGGCCCTGGCTAAACTGGGGAAGGGAACTGAGGAAGGCAGGGTGTGGAGGGGACCCAGCTGCCTTTAGCACTAACAGCAATCCTTCCCCCTTGCAGCCAAGCCTTGGACCCAGACACCTCCCATCTGCCCGGCCAGGTAAGAGCGAGCTGTGACTGTGGGGACGAGCATCTCTCGGTGATGCTCTGACTTGTAGGGATTCCCCCAGGCTCTGGGGGCAGATTGGGCAATGGGTGAGCAGCAGCCACCACCATGGCACGATGCCATCCGTGCAGCCACAGCACCTACCCTTAGGGTTACTTGTGGAAGCTTTCCCTTGGGACAGCATTCCCCATGCGTGTGTCCTTCCACAGCGAAGCAGCAAGGAGGACAATGACATCCACTACGCCGACCTCCAGCCCCTGCCCGCAGCCCCGCAGCACAGCAGGAGCCCCGGCACAGCCCGCTCCGAGTACGCCAGCATCAGGGTCGCTGCCAAGTGATGCAAAAGCCCATTCCGGGGGAGGAAGCTGGGATGGTTCTGCAGGGCTCAATAAAGGAGAAGTGGATCTGTTTGCATGGCACACCCCGTCCATTGCACCCTGGGCTCGGAGCTGCCAAAGCTTCCCTAATTCATTCCCACCTCGGCAGCGGGGCTGGGTGAGGCTCAGGCTGGAGCTGGGGCTCAGCAGCCGTCTCAAGCACAGGATCAGGCCATGAGGCTGAGCACCTCTGCCCTGTGCAGGCTGTTGGGGGCTGTTCCCATCAGCAAGGGGCATCGCTGGCACATCCCCAGCTCAGCAGGTCCCTGATTTGTGTTACCTTCCCTGCACACTGAGCCCGTCCTCATTGAAACCAGCACACGGCCCCGGCCATCCAGTCCCACTGTGTTCAGAGCAAGCAGTGCTGGTCCTGTGAGGTCTGGGGACACGGTGCCCTCCACAGCCCTGTGCCAGCTCGGGCTGGTTTCTGGGACCGTGGCTCATGGTGCTGTGGTAGCTCTCCCACCCCTTCTCCCTGATCCATGCACATCCCCTGCTCCATGCACATCCGCTTTGTGCACATCTGCACCATGCACATCCCCTGCTCCATGCACATCCGCTTTGTGCACATCTCCTCCATGCACATCCCCTGCTCCATGCACATCTGCTCCATGCACATCCCCTGCTCCATGCACATCTGCACCATGCACATCCCCTGCTCCATGCACATCTGCTCAGTGCCCACCCCAAGGGGAGCAGGCTGGTGGCCGAGGCTGGAGCACGGTGACCACAGGAAGCCCCAGGGTGCATGCACCCTGCAGCCAGCACTGCGCACCTGAGCGCCGCCGGTGTCACACGCATGCCTGCACCCAGCCATGCATCGGGTGCTGCAGGGGAAGCAGAGGAGGGCTCTGCGGTGGCCGCCGTACCCTTGAGAGCCGCTGCAGCTGCTGGTTTCCAGTTTGATCGCTGCTCACTCTCGCCTTGTAACGCCAAAAGAGAAGTGAAACAAGACAGCCTGAGCCCACTGCCTGTGCCCGGGCCGGCGGCACGGACCTCGGGGCAGAGCTGCCTGGGGCTGGAGGAGCCGTGCTTGGGGTTTATTTGCGTGCCTGAATCAGCGTCCCCTGCTCTAGGGATCCTGCCCCTCTGCTGCGGTCCTGATCCAGCCCTGGGGCAGCAGCACCGGAGGGACATGGAGCTGATGGAGCGAGGCCAGAGGAGGCCATGGAGCTGCTGCGAGGGCTGGAGCAGCTCTGCTCTGGAGCCAGGCTGAGAGAGCTGGGCTGGGGCAGCCTGGAGAAGAGAAGGCTCCTGAAGGGGAGACCTTAGAGCAGCTCCAGTGCCTAAAGGGGCTGCAGGAAACCTGGAGAGGGGCTTGGGACAAGGGATGTAGGGACAGGGCAAGGGGAATGGCTTGAACCTGCCCGAGGGGAGACTGAGCTGAGCTCTTAGGCAGAAGCTCTTCCCTGTGAGGGTGCTGAGGCGCTGGCACAGGGTGCCCAGAGAAGCTGTGGCTGCCCCATCCCTGGCAGTGCTCAAGGCCAGGTTGGACACAGGGGCTTGGAGCAAGCTGCTCCAGTGGAAGGGGTCCTTGGATGGAACTGGAGGAGCTTTAAGGTCCCTTCCACCCAAACCGCTCTGGGATGCTGTGATTTATTCCCCAGGGGCAGTGAGGGGCCATGGGCAGGGGGGTATCGGGGTGAAGCCTTCCCCCAGCACCAGCCCCTGAGTGGAGCCAGGCAGGGGCTCCCCTCCTGTCCCTGAGCAGGACCCGGGGCTGCCCGGCCCCTGCAGGGGAGGATCCCAGAGCTCGCTGCGAGCTCACCTCGGGATCGCGGGTGGAGGATGTGGAGTGTGGGGGTGAGCCTGAAACGGGGGAGAGCCCTCGGGGCAATGAAATCCATGGGGATCCGGGGCTTTTCAGGGTCAGGAAGGGGGGAATCCACTGTGATGCAAGCATATGCAAAGCAGAGCAGAGCAGCGTGAGCCCTCTGCACCTAGTGAAGGGCCCAGGTCTGCAGCTTAGTGCCCAGGGGAGGGATTTGGAGGTTATTATAGGAAAATCCTTTAAGCCACCAGCCCGGGGTGTGCGGCAGTGAAAGCACAAACAGGAGCCCGAGCACCGACACAAGGTAAGAGCGTGTCGGGGTGCACTTCGCTCGGGGGGGGCCTCGTGGTGGGTTCCTGCTGCTGCTGGGTGTCACTGTCACGTCCTGTTAAGCTGCTTGTCGGGTGCTTGAGTGAGAGAGGAGGGTGCTTGTGCTGCATTGGGGTGGATGCGGGTGATGCTGGGGGTGGTACCCACCAGGATCCTCCTGCCCATGGTGCAGAACCAAGGGATGGATGGATGGATGGATGGGTGATGGATAGGTGGGTGGGTGGATGGATGGATGGATGGAGGGATGGATGGATGGATGATGGATGGATGGAGGGATGGATGGATGGATGGATGGATGCATGGATGGATGGATGGATGGAGGGATGGATGGAGGGATGGATGGATGGGTGGATGGATGGATGGAGGGATGGATGGAGGGATGGATGGATGGATCTTGGGGCTCAGTGTCCAAGCTGGGGAGGGACACAGAAGGGGTTTGGGCTGTATCCCAGTACTGCACCTCATCCGTGGCCATGTCAGGGTGGTGCCGTGCCAAGGCAAGGATGCTGCTGAGGCTGTGGTGATGCATCCTAACAAAGCAGCCCAAGCCACAGCGAGAAGCTCCCGGCACATGGGGGTTGTGGGGCTTTAGCTGGGCTTTCCCCCCATGCAGTGTGTGTGAGCCCGGTGCCGGGACCTCGTGAGACGGCAAAGCCAAGGAAAGGGCTGTTTGGGATGGGGTGGGGAGAAGGCAGGAAGCAGGAGGTGGGAAACGGCTGGTGGAGGGTGCCAGGCAGTGGTGTGTGCAGTGCCGTGCAGTGCCATGCAGTGCCATGCAGTGCCGTGCAGTGCAGTGCCAGGGAGCCAGCGTGGGTTGGGCACCGGCTGTGCCAAGAGCCAACGGGGAGCAGGAGCCTCAATGGAAAACACGGGATAACAGCAAGCAAATAGCAGGGAGCGTGATGGGGGAGGCAAGGGCTCAATGAACACCGATGGGGTGGCGGAAACGGGGGGTGCAGGGGTCCCCCTGGAGCCCTGGGGGGCAGGAGAGGGCTGGCAGCGCTCGCAGGCAGCGGAACAAAGCTGAGCTTGTGCTGGAGCCGGGGCTGAGCAAGGAGCAAAGGGAGGAGATGGGGATAAATGCCCTGTGCACTGCCCGGGGATGCTCCAGCTCCATGGTGAGAACTTAGACCCCCCCCCACGCTGCCAGTGCCTCCCCCAGGGTGGCAGCCTGGGGCCATTGTGTCTCCCGGCATCGCTCCAGTTCATCCCATCCATCAGATCCAGGCAAGGGCTTGATTTGTGGCTGTCTCTGTCCAAGATGCTTTTGTGCTCCTGCTTTGTCCAGCCCTGTCTTTGCTACTGCAGGAATGTGGTGGCCACGAGCCCATCCCCAAGGACAGACAGGCTGGTCCCTTTGCACATCAGCATCAGGCAAACAGCCACAGGTCCAAGAGGGACCATCAGGGTCCTCACGATGCCACAGGTGATGCCATGGGGACCCCATTGCCATGAGATCCAGGTAATGCCATAGGGATACGGTGCCAGGACATCAATGGGGACCAGCATGAGGAGCTGGAGGGACAGCTTGGAAAGGGTGAGAGGGACACAGAGACGCTTTGCTTGTCCCCAGGATTGAGCCCGCTGGGTGCTGGGAGAGGAGCACAGAGCAGGGAGAAGCCCTGGGACGCTGCATGGCCAGACCCTGATCCCACCAATTCCAAACCCACCAATTCTCCCCTTTTCTCAGGTTTTCCCTTGGAAAGCCCGGAATGAAGCTGAAGTAAAACAGTGACATGGGCTTGACACTGTTCCTGATGTATTTTGCATCTTCTTCCAGGGTTTCACAGTTATTGTGGGGCTCATTAAAGGGGATAAACAGGTCTGGGACTTGGGGTTGTCATAGGAACTGTTCCCGTGCTGCAGCCTCACCACCAGCCTCATCCTCCCCCCGGGTTCCTCATGCAGTGAGGATCTCCCTGGCACTGCAGAGCTGTCTCCAGCCCCCCCCCCCCCCCCCAAGCACTGGGGTACCCTGTGGCACCCCCGGCTGTCCAAGGGGGATGTGGGCTCCGTGCCCACACCGCAGCCTGGCCCTGCAGCCATGGGGAAGTGAACCAGGACCCCTTTAAGCTGAGGAGAGGCATGGAGGGTGCTGCTGGGCGGTGTGGATTCTCTGGTGTCTAATGGGAGGTTGTGCCGTTGCAGCTGGGATGCTCTGGAATGATTTTCATTAAATCCCTGGAGCTGAGGGGACGTGGGGCAGACCAGGGGCTGCCCTCCAGCCCTTCCCCATCTCTTCTATGGCAGGCAGAGGGGGCAGGCAGTGGAAATGGAAGTGTCAACCTCATTTCAAAGGGAACCCTTTGTGCCCAGCACTCCTTTGGCCTGTGCAATCCTTCACCGCGGGGTGCCGGGGAGGCCAAGGCTCTGGCAATGACTAAAGAGGGATTTCCAGGGCCGTGGGGCGGGCAGGAACACCCAGTGCTGAAGAAAGAGTCACTTTGTGTGCTCGGTGTTTCACGGGACGCTGCTCAGGAACAATCACCCCTGGAGCCGCTCGGGAGGCGGATCCAGCTGCGGTGCTTGGTCCTGCCAGCGCCCCAGGGAAGGTTCCAGGGTGGCCTTGGGGGGAGAGGTCCTGTGTGTGCTGGGGGTGCCATTGGTGGATCAGCCATTGGTGGGTCACCCATTGATGGATCACCCATTGATGGATCACTCATTATGGGTCACCCATTGGTGGATCACCCATTGATGGATCACTCATTATGGGTCACCCATTGGTGGATCACCCATTGATGGATCACTCATTATGGGTCACTCATTGGTGGATCACCCATTGATGGATCACCCATTGATGGGTCACTCATTGGTGGATCACCCATTGATAGATCACCCATTGATGGATCACCCATTGATAGATCACCCATTGATGGATCACCCGTTGATGGCTCACCCGTTGATGGATCACCCACTGATGGGTCACTCATTGGTGGATCACCCATTGATGGATCACCCATTGATGGGTCACTAATTGGGGTGCTCCTCGCCCCTGCCATCCCCACGCGCATCACGCCCGGAGCTGGGATGCTCCGTGGGTTTTGTCCTGTTAAAAGAGCCGCGGCTGCCGTTTGGGAAGGGGAAACCCTTCGGGAGCTGCTCCCCGAGAGCAGGGATCTGCGGGGGTCCCCCCGCTCCTCCTGGCACGCAGTAACCCCCATTGGCGGCAGTCCCGGCGCTGGCAGAGCCCCGAGAGCGGCACAAGCGGCGCTTGAGGAGTGCAGGGAGAAGGGAGCCACATTTCGACAGGCAGGAGCCGGGGCAAAGCAGCCGCTGCGGGAGGAGCCGGGCCCGGCTCAATGCGGGCTCTCAGGGCGCTTTTGTCGGCCCCGGACGTGCCCAGCGGTGCTGCCAGCACGGAGGGGCTGTGCCGGCGCCAGCGGCTCCCAGCGTGGGGCGGCAGCGTGCCCAGCGCCTTGGCTCAGCACCGTGCCCGTGGGCAGGATGCGGAGCCTCCATCGGGAAGCTCCATCGCCTCGGCCGGGCCGGGCGCAGGGTGGGCAGCGCAGCGGGAGCAGCGACACGCGGGCTGCGGGAATTGCTCCTGACAGATCCGTTCGTTCCGCAAGGTTCAGCTTAATTTTATAATGGCATCGGTCGCTATGGCAACGGGTAAAAATAACGGATCCCCGAGCCCGGCAAATTCCCCATAAACAGCTCCGGTCTTTGGGAGCCACAGCATCCTCCATGCCTGTATCATCCCCCTGCCTGCAGCATCCACCCTGCCTGTATCATCCCCCTGCCTGCAGCATCCCCCTGCCTGCAGCATCCCCCTGCCAGCAGCATCCACCCTGCACGCAGCATCCCCCCTGCCCGCAGCATCCCCCATGCCTGTATCATCCCCCTGCCCGCAGCATCCCCCTGCCCGCAGCATCCCCCTGCCCGCAGCATCCCCCTGCCCGCAGCATCCCCCTGCCTGTATCATCCCCCTGCCCGCAGCATCCCCCTGCCTGTATCATCCCCCTGCCCGCAGCATCCCCCTGCCTGTATCATCCCCCTGCCTGCAGCATCCCCCCTGCCCGCAGCATCCCCCTGCCCGCAGCATCCCCCATGCCTGTATCATCCCCCTGCCCGCAGCATACCCCTGCCTGTATCATCCCCCTGCCCGCAGCATACCCCTGCCCGCAGCATCCCTATGCCCTCATCATTGCCTCGGCCGCTGCCTGCTCAGGGGTTCGTGTTTGGGTGAGGATTCACACCATGAGTAATTAGTGGTGTTAACTGCTCATGCCTTGGGATGATGATTTCGGTTGCTAATCCTTCGGGCTAGGCAGAGCTCCCAGTGACTAATTGCGTGGATGTCATTAATGCTGGCGGCCAGGAGCCGGAGCATCCCTCTTGCATGTTGCAGGGGAGATGCTCTGCTGACAGCTCTCTTGGTACCCAAGACCAGGGTCCCTCTTCACACTACAACCCACCCTGGAGCTGTCGTGCACACACATGCACAGGCAGAACGGGTTCCCCACACACGTGGGCCCCCCTCAGCTGGTGCCACCGCGTGTCCTGGCTGTCACTGCTGCTAACAGATCATCCCAGGAACGGTTTCTAACCCTGTCAGACACCGCACGGACCCTCTGGATGCGCGGCTCCCGCAGGCTGAGCTCCGGGGCAGGATGGCAGCGTTTCAGAGCTCTGATTCCCAGCTCCTTATCAGGGCCAGGCCAGACCCTTGGCACTGATGCAGTCACCAGGAGCACGGTGGATCGTGCACAGGCAGAGTCAATCCTCGTGCTTTGCGTTGCCCTTCAGCTTCAGAACAAAGCCACAAAGCAAAGCAGCACAGACCCCTCGCAGAAGCATCTCCCTCCAGCTCCCAGCAGCAGGACCAGCACGGAGCTGGGAGTGCTGGGCTCTGCTTGGTCTCAATGGGACCAATGCAAACAGCCTCTAGCTCTGGCACAGGGAGGTTGTGAGGCTGCAGAGGGGATGGTGTGGGGACAGCACCCCAGGGACAGCCATTGTAAGGGTTGGGGCGGTGCTGGTGGTGCTGGGGGCTGGTCAAGACAGCAGCATCCCCATTCAGAGCTGGGTCTCGCTGTTTGGGGGGATAATAAAGGGTGACACGGGGTGGTACCGGTCTCCTGCACCCAGCTCAGCCCTTCACTGGGGCATCTCCCCTTCCCCAGCACCACCAGTGCCTGTCCAGCACAAATCCCCCCCATCCAAGCTTGGCCTTCAACATCCCGCACCCACCCCGGTGCTTCCCATGGGAGCTGTGAGGAGCGGGAAGCGATGGCCTGGGATGGTTTAACACCATCAATCCCCCCGCGTTAGCATTCCCACTCCCAGCTGCAGCTGCCATGGGGCTCTGTGAGGCCGCCCAGCCTGCAGTGAGCTGCAGCAGGCATCGGCTCTGCTTTCATCACAACAATCCGCAATCAGCAGAGCCCGGGGAGGATGCACGGCAAGGAAAAGGCAAAGGGAAACGGAGCCGATGCTGCTCCTCCTTCAGGCACGCTTCTCACCCGCACGGTGCAAGTGGAGCAGCCAAGGGGACACCAAGGTCTTCTCCAGCATCGCTCCATGGGGCTGTGGGCTCGAAGGGGCATCCTGCACCCCATCCCTGCACTGCAGCACCCCAGGAGCCCTCCAGGCTGTTCCACACGGGCCCTGGGCGCTGGCATGGCAGCGGCAGCACCAAGTTAAGGGTAGGGGCAGCTGGAGGACAGGGTGCATCCTATATGGGGAACCATCACAGCTCTGGCAGGGATCTGACCCATTGGTGAGAGCCAGAGCTGTGTGGGATTGAGAGGGTGAATTTGTCTGGTGTCAGGGTGAGGAGGCCTCCCAGGGCCTCAGCTTGGCCATGGTTTTGAGGAGCTGCCTGTGCACTGTGGGGCTCTGGGTACCGGCACTGCCACCCCTGTGGAGCAGCCCTGTGCAGAGCATTCCCCTCTGGAGCAGGGATGGAGGCTTTGGCTCCAGCAGCTCCCAGGAGCCTGTTAATGATTAACACCCACCCCGAGATGGCCCCTGTGGGGCTGGAGCTGCCTGGCTCCCTGCCTGCCTTCCCTGCCCCAGCAGCCCCACTGCTCCCAGGGCTGAGCATCCCCCCCATGCCCACACTGGGGTAGGGAAGTGGCACAGGGCAGGCACCACTCAGCTCCTCACGAGAGCTGGTGTGAGCCCCACGCAGCCCCACAGCTCCCAGGAAGGGCATGAATCAGGGTGCAGGATTGGGGTCACCCTGTACCCTGCACTGAGCTGCGCTGGGGGGGGGGGAGCTGCCTTGCACCCTGGTCCCCATCCTTGTGCTGCGCCCATGCTGCGGATGCAGGAGGCTGCAGTGTGGGGCTGCTGGGGCTTTGCTCACCCCCTGCACACACAGCACTGAGCAAAGCCTCCTCCGGAGCAGGATCCTAGCAGGGAACAAAGGTCACCGCAGAGTGCTCAGGGCAGTGAATGGGCACCAAGCTTCCAAACCATCCCTTACAGCCGGGTTTTCCTGGCCTGTCAGCAGTTCCCCCCTCTGCCCATCGCCTCCAGGTCAGCAGGGCCGCTTCCAGGCCAGGCACAGGATATAAACCACCTTTCCTGCTCTGACACAGCCAGGAGGAATTCCCCCCGTCGGAGGAGTGCAGGGCTGCATTAAGGAAGCCTGGATGAGTTACTGCGTTACATGGGACGGGGATGGGTGAGCTGTGTTGCAGATACGCTCCATGCCGCAGCTCATTGCACCCCTTTTTGCTCAGTGGATGGTGGTGGAGAGCCCAGGACGATGGCTCCATGAGGACACTCGCAGCATCATCGCACACCAGTGCGGCGCGGCGCAGGCAGCGCCCGCATCCCTCCCTTGTGATCCCAGTTTATGGGCTGGGAGGGGACGGGCTGATGCTGGCAGAGCCCTCGAGGGCCATAGAACTAAGTGGGCTGTGATTAGGGACGCGGAGGCTGTGGTGACAGGCGGCGGAGGCGGCTTCCTTGGAATACCCCGTGCCGGGAAGCACCTCCCCGGCACCATCTGCACCGACCGGCGGGGCCCAGGGCTCAGATGAGGACCTGAGATAGCTCAGCTCAACCTTAAATCACTGTTAATGCCTCACTGTGGCTGCCCCATCCCTGGCAGTGCTCAAGGCCAGGTTGGACACAGGGGCTTGGAGCAAGCTGCTCCAGTGGAAGGGGTCCCTGCCTATGGCAGGGGTTGGAATGAGGCCGATTGAGGTCCCTGCTTACTCAGCATCCTGCACAGCCCGCCCCTGACTCAGCAATCACAGCCTTAACGAACCTCCTGCAGCTCGTTTCCCCTCCCAGGCCCTCTCCCACATAAGGGGGTGAGCTGAGGACACCCATCCCTTGCTGCTGCTGCTGGTGGGTGCTGCGGGAGCATGCAGCGAGCAGACAGGTATGGTACACATCCTTAACCCAGGGCTCTCAGTGCTGGGGTGCTCTTGCTGTGGGTGCTGCTGCCTTTGTCCCTTCTCTCCAGGTCACGCTCTGCCTTGGCTGCTCCTTGCACACAGGCTGTGGGTCACTTCTTCCCCTCCCCATGTTAACATATTGCTTGTTCTAAGTTAACATCGGATAAACCAATTTAAGCTCTTTCTGTACGGGATGTCTTGGATTAAATTGGCATGGTACCTAATGAAGCTGAAGCTCCATTTGTTGTGCTGGAAGCCCTAAATATCAGCAGTGTAATTGGTGCTACCTCCTTTAGAAGGCATTTGTGTGGTTTTTTAACTCAGCCTAAAGCCCTGTGGGGATGATGTCTCAAAGGCAGAGGGATGATGGGGAGAGGCAGGAGGGCTTTAGGATGTGTCTGCGTGGTTCATGCACTGGGGAGGTCATGGAGCCCAGCATTGGAGCTGGAGGAGGGATGGGATGGGATGGATGCGCTGTGTCCTGTGCCTGGCTGCTCCCTGGCTGCAGGGAAGCTGTGCTGTGTGCACTGGAGCACATCTTGAGCAGGGCTGGGCTTGGCTCTGCTGCGGTCGCACACATCAGGCTTGTTGTGGTGAGCCATGGAAGCACCATCTCCCAGGGCGCCGGGGCTGGGCTGTGTTTGGGGCTGGGCCTGGATGCAACCAGGCAGCTCCGAGCTTCCCTGGGGCAGTGAGGATCTGCAACCCCAAACACCTCCCTTTGTGACTGTGGAGGGCTCCCATGGGTGCTGGCTGCTTGCTGGTGCTTAGGCGCAGTTCTGCAGCCGCAGCCCCAAGCCAGCACTGTGGGATGCTGGTTTTAGGGTGTTTTCTAGGCTGATGTCCAAAGCGTTGGTGTTTTCCCTGTGTTTATCTCTAAGCTTTCCCTGTTGGTTTGGGTTTTGGGGCTGGACTGAGCCCATGAGCTCTCTGGGACAGCGCTGTGTCCTGGTGCTGGTGGCTCGGGCCATAGGTAACCTCCTCACTGCACTGTGCTGTGTTTGTCTGAGGCTGGGGAGTGCGGGTCCCAAGGGAGAAAGTCCCCAGCAGGGGAAGAAACGCAGTCCCCTCCATCAGTAATGAAACGGGGCTCATTGACAGGCCCAGGTTTGGCACCAGAGGCAGGAACCAGGTCCTGTTCCTGTTCCATCCCCATCATTGCGAGTCCTCCTCCAGCAGTAGCCACCGCTGTCCCCTTGGGCTGTCAGTGCTGGGAGGGATGAGACAGGAGCTCATCAAGGGATGAAGGAGCTGTGTGGGCAAAGCCAGTGCTGCAAGAACCCTGGCAAGGCTCCAATTGCCCTGTTGGGTGCTGCCAGGCTCAGGACAAGAGGGTCTTGGGACCCTCTATAGATGATGCTGCTGCCCTGCCCGGGGGTTCTTGTGTAGGGAGAGGTCCCCATCTCCTCTTGGGGAGCAACCACTCACACCGTCCATGCAGAGCTGGAGATGGGGCAGTGCAGGAGCACACTGGAGCCCTCACCCCCAGGATGGGGACCAGAGCCCTGCCTCCCTCCAGCATCCAAACCTGCCGGAGCGAGTGTGCTCCCTGGCAGGGGGTTGGCTGCGTGATTCAGGCTCCTCACTATGCTCCAAGCATTGAAAACCAACCTGTTCTTGAAAAGCTCTCCTCAAACAGCCCTGGTCCCCCCCCACGCTGCCTGCGCCTGGGGCTGGGGACACCTGGGCTCCAAAAGCATCCCTGTGGGCTCGAGCTGGAGCGTGAGGATGCTGCAGAAGTGAGCGCAGCCTGGCTGCACGCCGCAGCACAGGAGTCTGGCAGCACTGCCCGCCCTGCCAAGCAGCCTCCTGCTCGCCGTGGGTGTTTGGTGCAGGAGGAAGCTACTAATGATGGCGCTGCACCTCCCGAAATGCTCTGCTCCGGGCATGGGAAGGAGCCCAGCGCTCCGGTTCACTGCTAGAAGGGCAGGGGCTGCCCTTTGGGGTGCATCCTCCAAACCCCCCCGTGTTCAAGCGGGTCCCTGCGATGCCAAGTGGAAGGGCCGTGGGCAGAAGGGGAGGCAGCTGAGCCTGCCCATATGCTTCCTAATGGGGAGCACTAGCATCTCTTCCCGGGAAGCTCGCGCGGTGCCATCTGCTCTGCCGTGGTACCTTCTCTCGCCGAGCTTTTTTAAGCTCTAACTTTCCTTCCCAAGCGCTCCGCGGCGGCTGCTGCTTGCGTATGGGCTCGTCTCCACGGTGTGATCGCCTCCAAACAGGTTGTCTGAACCTTCAGCGCCGAGCAGCAGAACAGCCCAGACAGGGCCCCGGGGGCTGCGCTTCCAGTTCAAAATAACCAGGGAATTGGCTGGGAATGGCTGCGGCGTGTCCCCAGCACCTTCCCTCTTCCTGGGTACCCATTCACCCTGTGGGTGCCTGCTGCTGGGCTGTGCCCGGGTGGGATGTGCTGCCCCAATGATCTGGAGAATCATGGCATGATTCAGGCTTTAAGGGACCTTAAAGCTCATCCAGTCCCGACTCCTTCCACTGGAGCAGCTTGCTCCAAGCCCCTGTGTCCAACCTGCCCTTGAGCACTGCCAAGGATGGGGCAGCCCCAGCTTCTCTGGGCACCCCATCCCCAGATTCCCACCAAGCACTGCTAATCCCATATCCAATCGCTGTGCAAAGCAATCCCTTATTTCCCCGTCATGCTGCATGTGCACAAGGCCAAAAGCCAAACCCAAGGGCTCCTCTGGGTCCCTGCTGCTGGCTCAGCCTCAGCAGCTGTGGGAAGGGGAAATAAACACAACGGGCTTCAAGCCGGCCGCAGGGTGCTTTACATGAGGAGAAGCTGCGGCTTCAGTGCTTGAGGGCAGCTTGCGGGGGGGGGGGTTCCCGGTGCAGATGCCTGGAGGGGCCGGTCCTGGCTTCCAGCAGCTAAATTAAGGCTGGATGCAACACATGGGCGTAGCTGGGGCCGAGGGGGAGGCTGCACATTGATGGTGCCAAGTCCCTTCAGGAGCGCTGCTGTTTGTTTGTGCGGGGCTCGAAATAAACCCACAGCCCCAGCGGCTGCATGGGCAGGAGGAGGGAGCCGGCAGGCGGTCCCCCAGCACCCAGTGTGAGCAATGGGGTGGATGGGTGCTACCTGCGGGTGCTGGGAGCCCCCACTGGGCTGTGATGGGGCTGCCCCATCCCCGTGGGTGCTTTGGGGATGTGCTGAGCTGGGGGATGCCAGCATCGGGGCTGGCTGTAGGTGACTGCGTCCATGCGAGGGAAGAAGCTGGGCCCTGGTGCTGAGGTTGCCGTGTGCGGTGGGAGAAGCTGGTGCAGGTGCAGTGGGGAGCGTGTCCTTGTGCCTCCCTGGGGAGGGCTTTGTGTCAGAGAGGAGCAGGGTGGTGCAGGGTCTGCATTCCATGGATGCTCACATCCAGATACTTTCCCCTTCCTCAGACCCGTCTCCCATTGCAGCTGCCTCGTCCTCAGGGTCTTGCCTGCCACAGGCTCCTGCTAATCCTGTCCTGGTGAGGGGGCATCATGGGGATGCCCCCGTGCTCCAGGGGTGCAGGGGGGTGCAAGGAACCTGGAGAGGGGCTTGGGGCAAGGGATGGAGGGACAGAGCAAGGGGAATGGCTTGAACCTGCCCGAGGGGAGCCTGAGCTGAGCTCTTAGGCAGAAGCTCTTCCCTGTGAGGGTGCTGAGGCGCTGGCACAGGGTGCCCAGAGAAGCTGTGGCTGCCCCATCCCTGGCAGTGCTCAAGGCCAGGTTGGACACAGGGGCTTGGAGCAAGCTGCTCCAGTGGCAGGGGTTGGAGCTGGAGGAGCTTTAAGGTCCCTTCCAACCCAAACCACTCTGGGATCCCATGATTTCCTCTCTCCCTGTCTGTGCCACCCCAGGGCCCTTTCCTCACTTTGACCCCCCTAAGCTGAGCTGCTCCATCCACGTGGCACCTCCAAAATGCTCCCTGTGCATCTGCTGTCGGCAGGGGCATGACCCCCCTAACCCCCCCCCCCCTCCATCCCTCCGTTCAGGGCCCCCCAGGCCGGTTGTCCCCAGCACCCCAGTTCCAGCGCAGGGATGCGGGGCTGCACGCAGCGTCCGGTGCCTACCGGGGGTGGGGAATCCCATCCCTATCCCCATCCCCATCCCCAGCCCACCTTAAGGCAGCAGCGCACCGGTGGGACCTTGCGAAAGCCGAGCGCGCTGCGGGGCGGGCGGTGCTCGGTGCTTCGCCCCCGCCGTTGGGAAGCGACCTTAGACCGGGGAGGACGGACGGACACCACCACCCCCCCCCCCGCTTGGAGCCGGTGCCGCCCCCTTCCCCCTCCACCCTCCCCGGTGCCACGGTAACGGCGCGGAGCGGGCGGGGAGGCCCCGTAGAGCGCTCGGTGCCGGGGCCCGGCCCGGTGGGTGCGGAGGGGGGGGGGGGGCCGGGCTGTGCGTGCGCTCGGAGCCGGGAGGCGGGAGCCCAGCCCCTCCTTCCTCATTCGGGGCTGGGGCAGCGGCGCCCGCTCCGGCCGCCGTCCGCCTTTCCCCTTTCCTTCTGTTCTTAACCCCAAAAGCGAAGCGAGGAGCTCCGCAGCATCTCCAGCCCCCGCTGCCCCGACACCACCGGCGATGGAGCCGCTTCCCCGGAGCGCCTGGCCGCTGACCTGCCTGCTGCTGCTCTCCCTGCCAGGTAAGCCACGGCCCTGCAGCTCCCTTTGCTCTTCCCGTCTTTCCCCATTTCCTTTCCCCTCCATCCTCGCCTCTCCCCCCCCTCCTCTCACCGCGCACCTCCCGACCGCGACATGATGCCGTTCGGTTTGACCTTTCTCCGCGGTGACCTAGAGCGCGGTGATGGGCTCCCCTCCCGCAGGGGCCTCGCTCCGCGGCTCCTCCAGCAGCAAACTTCAAGGCAGACATTCCCCTTCGCAGCCAGACGAGGGAATTAGGCAGGGACGTGAAGCGGCATGTTGTTTCCACCCATTTGCTAGCACCCCCTGCCAGCTACGTGAGAGGAAAATCTCTGCAAGCCCAAATTCCTGCTCGGAGGTTGATGGGGAGGATGGTGGAGCAGGCAGGGGGGAGGCTGTGCTGAGGGCCACCGGGCTCCTCTGCCATTGACTTCAGATGTGCCCCATCAAGGCCAGGTTGGACTGGGCTTGGAGCAACCTGCTCTGGTGGAAGGGGACTGAAACCAGATGAGTTTTAACGTTCCTTCCAACCCAAACCCTTCCATGAACTTGTTTTTCTTGTTACCCCCCTGCTTCCCCCCCCCATACAGTTCTTATGCTCCAACCCAACTGTTGAGCACTGAAGTGGTTGGATTGCACCACCCCTGCGGGCACCTTGCGCCACCCAACCCTGCTGTGAGCATCAGCCACGGGGCACCCCGGGTTCCTCCTGCTACCCCCTGTGTCCCCCAGCCCTCCTTGGACTCCTGCTGCCGGCCTCCAGCACGTCCCAGGGCTCCAGCAGCCCCTGGTGCTGCAGCGTGAGGCGATCGGGGTTTGTGCTGCTCTCTGCCTGTTTCCCTTCCCTTACCAGCAGTGGGAAGTTTCTCGCCCCTCCAGGAACGAAGCCCTGTGGTGGCTGCTGCTTTCAAGGTTTCCTTTCTAGGAGGTTTCATTTCAGTGCTCTTCAGGATAAGAACAGCCCTCCTTCCTGCCCACCTCCAGGGAGGACGGGGCAATAACCACGTGCCTTCAGGAGCACCTTGCTCCTGAGCTCTCCACCTGCCCAAGTCCACAACTGGGATCCCACTGCAGATAACCCAGCCCAGGCTCCCATGTGGGGGAAGCCCATCTTCTCCCAGGCCCATCGGAGCTATTTACCACCAAAGCTTTCCTCGGGCAGGGAGTTGAGCGCAAACTTGAGCAGAAAGCAAATGCTTTCAGCACAACACTCCTTGCTTTGAGTTGCCTGATCACAACTGAGAAGTGTTGGCCCCAAGCTGAAAACTCCCAGTTGCTGAGAGCCAAGAAGGCTTTGGCGGCGAGCGGTGCTTCTCGGTGAACCGCTGTGATTTCCTGCCACGGGAGAACGGCTCCAGCAACGAGCTTGGGTTTAATTAAACGTGGCCTTGGGAGGAAGAGCCCCATTTTCCCAAGGCAGCCATAGGGAAGGAGCCATCCTGGGGCGGGAAGCCGTGCTTTGCATCCCTGATTTCGGGTGCGAGCATGCGGATCCGAAGCCTCCGCTTCCATGCGGTGAACCCGCCTCAAGCGAAGCCTGGGCTGCAGGAGAGCTGGCCCAGGCCCCTGCTGCTCCCATAGAGCTTCTGCAGAAGCGAAGGGGAAAGGGAAGGTCCTGCTGGAGCTCTTCCTGTAGGGCAAAGAGAAGCGAGGTGCTCGGAAGCCGGGTTGCAAAATCTGTGCTGTGCAGGCGCTTCTCGGAGCCTCCCCTAAAGAGGAAATCTGTTTGCTGGTGGGGCTCTGCCTTTCGAGCTCAATTTGTGCTAAGGCTGTAGGAGGGAAGCTCGCAAATGGTGGCTGTGTGTGATCCGAGGCTTCCTCTGATGTCATGTCTGTAAGATACAGCCTTTACTACAGCCCTCCCGGAGCCGCACCGGGATCAAGCTTATCCCAGGGTCTCTCCTTTTGGCTGCCCCCAGACTGCAGATTCCAGCCCCTTTTTATAGGCAGCACCTGTTAGTGTCCCCCATGGGCAGCCCGGCTGCAGGTGAAATTCCAATGGGATTATTCTGGGGCTTCTCTTGCCCTTCAGCAAGTGCCTGCAGGGCTCGGGATGCCGGTGGCCAGCTGCACGTTGCTTCCACCCTGGAGCTGCTCACCCAGCCCCTTTGGAAGGGGGAAGAAAAGGTCTATTTTTATCAGGAAGCATCCGAGCAGCCGCTCCTGGATCCAACCCCAGCCCCTCGCAATCTGCTCCCTATCAGATACCTCAAAAGGTGGAATCCAGGGGGAAGGAAAGATGGGAAACTTGCGCCGCAGCGGGAGGGCCGGGGGTGATGCTGCTCCCAAATGAAACCGAATGCCAGGAGGGAGGCTCGGCCAGGCCAGGGCAGGCGCAGCACGATGCCCGTGCTCGTGCCGCTGCTCCAGGATGGAAGTGCTCCGGGTCCGCCTTGCGAGGATGCTCCCGCCTACATGGGAACCATCAGGTGATGCTTTGGGGGGCTCTGATCCCCTTCGCTAACTCCGGAGTGTGGGATGGAGCACATTGCAGGGGCAGAGCACCTGAGCTGCCCTGGGGATTGGAGGCAAGAGTCCGTTTGAAGGCAAAGTCATGGGGTGGCAGCGTCAGTGTGCAGGTGGGAAGCTGTTTAATGCTGGAATGGTGAGAGATGGGGCTGTGTGCCTCGTGTTTGCAGCACGAGGAACCCCCTGCATCCCGTTTCCAGGCACGTAGGGAGCAGACCCGGTGCTGGCAAACAGCGACCGGGCAGGGGTGAGCAGGCAGAAAGGGGAAGGAGGGAGGCTGCCGGCTGCAAGGAGGAGCTGCCGTCGGGGGGGGACAGGAGGGACGGAGCCGCAGTGGAAACTTCGCGTTGTCGAGCTTGCATCTTCTGGGGTTTTCTGACAACTTCCCCTTTGTGTGTTCCCATGGCAGGGGGGGGGGGTGGCGGCATCGCTGTGGGGCTGCTGCTGCAGGAGCTTGGAGGGGGCTTGGTCAGGATGGTGCTGCTGGGTGCTGCGTGAGCAGAGGGGGATGCTGACCGCTGCTTGTGCTCCTCGGTGGGAGGGAGGCAGGAGCGGGTCCTGGTGAAGTGACGTGTTGTTAACGTGCTGTATCATGGCTGAAGCTCATGTTTAATAGATCTGCAAACCCGGAGCGGGGTGAGCTGAATAGCGGAGCTGTGTGTGAAAGGCTCTAAAGCAGCGAGGCGGCTCATAGCAGAACACATGGGAAAATACCCCAAAGCCACGTTTTAGTCCTATCTAAGAGGCTACCAAGAGCCACGTGTGCCTTCTGCAGTGACCAGCACTGCCCGTGCAGGCTCCTGGCAGGCAGCATGGGAGCAGTGGGAAGCCCTTTGTTCCCTGCCTGCTCTGGGAGCAGCGGCACTAACAGAGAAGCCCCGTATGGCAACGGCCCTGCTGCAGCAGCACCTCCAGCACCCTGCCACTGGGCCCTGCCTGCAGATCCCTCTGCTGCTGCCTGGAGAGGGGATGATGTGAGATGCACAGGGACCATCCATAACCCTGCTCCGAACCCATCTGCTTGCCAAGGTGAGCCCAGGAGCCTCAGGGAGCTACAGCACTCAGCTCAGTTTAACTGCCCCAAGACCCCATCGCTGCACCCAAACATGCTTCAGGGATGAGCAACGCCTCTGGGCCCACCCCAACCCTGCTCTGGTGCTGGGGTCAGCCCCAGGACCCCAAGACAGGCGCTTCCCCCCGCGTTCCCCCCTCCGGCACGACGCGTGGCTCGTGGGGAGATGGGACAGATGGAGAGAGGGAGGATGAGGAGGAAGCGCTTGGCTCGCTGCAGGCTGGGCTGTGCTGCACGGGGCGGCGCTGGCCCCTCGGAGCAGGGGACCCTTGAGGGGGTGCAGGGGGGGCACCACCCCATATGGGTCACTATTACACAGGGATGCTGATGAGCAGAGTGAGCAACCAGTAACGTGGCCACCCTGGGGATGTGAAGGGGTCCCTGTGCCCGCTGCAGCCTGGTCCATGGTCCGGGTCACATCCCCATGGTGAGAGGTGGATGACGAGGGGCAGATGATGATGCTGTGCTGTCAAACTTCCTCTGTGTGTTTCTTACCCCTCCTTGGGAAAGCTCTGAGGCAGAGGCAATGGAGAAGCTCAAGAGATGCTGCAGCAGCAGCATGTGCCCTGTGTCACCGTGCTCTGCACATGGCACACACCAGCCCCCGCGGAGGGCAGGGACTCTGTGCCCTCTGGTTTGGTGTCACCCAAGAGCCATGGATCTGCCTTGCAGAGCCCAGATGCAAGAGCAGGGATCAGCCTGAGTGGTGCCATTTGGATGTGACACAAGCCAGGCTTCTGTCTTATTGCGCTTGTCTTATGGGGCAAGCTTGGCCTGGTGCTGAGTGCCCCTAACGCGTTGTCCTTGGCGTGGCTTTGAAGGGAAACACCAAGAGCTGAAGGTTTTGTCTGTGGGTATCTGCCTATGATGTGGATGCAGCAGCCTAATGCCCTGGGCAAAAAGCCTTTAATTTGGGGAGCCCGGCTGAACTGGTGGCTCCGGCTGTTGAGAACAAGACAGTGCAGACGGTGGGAACACACTGCTGGAAGGCAGGAGGGATCCACGGCTGCCAAAATCCCTCTCCAGGCTCTGTGGGAGGCAGCCATGGCCGGGAAGAGGCAGAGCAGCTTGTCCTGCAGAGGCTTCTCCTGGGAGCATCCAGGCGAGGATCCCGTCCCATCCTGGGGACGGATGCAGGGGACCAAGGAGTCTCTGCCTTGGGTTTTATCTGCGGTGGGGTGCAGGAGCTTCCTGTTCAAGCCTGATGCTCTCTGCATGACCATGACACCGGTTCCGTGTGCCACTTGCCAGCTCTGGGGTTGCAGCAGTCAGCAGTGCCTGGCCCCTGTTATCAGCAGGGTTTAAGTGGTTCTCCCATGTTGCTTAAAGCTGTTCCTTTAAGCAGTGACCTGTATTGAGATCTCATTCAGTGTGGTTGTAGTAATGATGTTGGCACTGCAGGCACTGCCAAAACCAACTCTTTGAGAGCTATATAGACTATGGGGTAGCTTGGTCTGATGCTGTAGCTACTTTTAGGGAGAAGGGAGCAGCAGCATCACTGGTGCATGGGGCTGAGCAGCTCCTGGTGCATCCCACCTGCATAGCGGTGGGCTTGGAGCCCCAAGTGCCCGCTCTGGTGCACTTTGTTATCACCTGCCCATAGGGTGAGCGGAACTCCAGCAGTTTTCCTGTTAGCTGCTTGTCCCTGTGTGTAGGAAGGTGTACCGGCACCCATGGGGGATCCCCTGGGACAGCAGGTCTCTGGTTGTGTGGGGACGTGCAGTGATGTTGGCTGGATGAGGGATGCTTGGAAGGGAACTGCTCTCTGTTGGCAATGAGCAGGGCTGGCGTCGGCCTGACTGGCACCAGCTTTGGCTCATGGCTCTGCTCTGCTGGAGGGAATCAGGGCTTGGAGTCATTGCAGAAGTGGGACACTCAGTGCGGTTCGTGGTGCTGCAGCTGCGAGGGGAGCCGGGGCTCTGGAGCGCCTCGGATCCTGCGCCCCTGTTTCCTCCTGTGAGAGCCGAGCGGCGATGGGAGGCAGCGGCTGTGCCGGCAGCTGGGAACTGCCTCCAGTCTGAGCTGCTCTGGGCACCTCGGGTGTTCACTGGCACAGCTCTGCCTGGTGGGAGCACAGAGGTGTCTGATGCTTCTGTGCCTTCTGTGGGCTCCCTGCTACCCTGGTCCCCACTACCCAGAGTTGCGGAAGGGAACCCGGTCGGGTGTGCGGTGCCAGATGTGATGTGCTCTGATGTTCCCCCCCTAGGTACCGGTGCCCAGGAGGTTCAGGGCTTCAAGCTGCATCAGCCCCAGGGCAATGTGTCAGTGACAGCGGGAGAGACGCTCACCCTGAACTGCACCACATCTGGAGATGGTCCCATTGGGCCTGTGAAGTGGCTGAAGGGCTGGGGCAGTGAGAATGAGACCATTTATGACCAGACGGGCACGTTCCCCCGTGTGATGAGGACAGCGACTGGGTCCGACACAGACTTCACCATCCACATCAGGAATGTTCACCCCGAGGATGCCGGCACCTATTACTGCGTGAAGTACGACAAGTCTGTGCGTGGGGTGATCGTGTTTCAGCATGGAAAGGGCACCGAGGTGTCCGTGTACGGTGAGTGGGGCTCCCAGAGCAGAAGGGGCTCGGTGCTGCCCCAGGAGCAGGTCCCGTGGGTCACCCCTGGCCATACCCATGTCCCCATGGGAGCCCCGGGGCCGGGCAGGGCTGGCAGAGCCCGGTCTGACGGCCCCGTTGCTCCTCTTCTCCCGCAGCCAAACCCAGCAGCCCGGTGGTGAGGGGGCCGGAGAGCAGAGCAGGGCCGGGGCAATCGGTGCCTTTCACCTGCACGGCCGGAGGGTTCTTCCCCAGGGAAATCGCTGTGAAGTGGCTGAAGGACGGGGCCCAGATCTCGGCTCAGCAGCCCCAGGTCAGCCCCGGGCAGACGAAATCCTCCTTCGACGCGTCCAGCACCGTGTCGGTGACGCTGCAGGAGGGCGACGTCCGCTCGCAGCTGCAGTGCGAGGTTCATCACCGCACGCTGCCGGCCCCGCTGCGGGGCAGCTTCCAGCTCAGCCGAGCCCTGCGAGGTGAGGGCTGGGGGGGGCCGCGCCGCGCTGCGCTGTGCGGGGCCGGGGGGCAGGGGGCGCGCTGCGGGCAGCGGGGCCGGGGATGGCCCGCACCAGGCGCTGCCTCTCTCCCCAGTGCCCCCCAGCGTGCAGGTGGTGGCTGAGCCGCCGAGCCCCGTGGAGCTGAACAAGACGGTGAACTTGACGTGCCTCGTGAAGGGGTTTTACCCGGGAGACGTGGCCGTGGCCTGGCTGGAGAACGGGACGGAGATGAGCGTGGGGAGCCCCCCCCCGCCAGCGGAGACCCCGCGGGGCTTGTTCGAGCTGCGCAGCCTGGTGGAGGTGCAAGCGACGGAGGAGAAGAACGGGTCCGTGTTCACGTGCCGCGTGGTGCACGACGCCCAGGGCCCCATCAACGGGACGAGCACCCTGCGGATCGCTGCCCCGGCCAAGGGCGGGCTGAGCGACCGCTCCCAGACTGATAACGGTGCGTGAGAGATGCAGGGATGCTGTAAAATACCCCCCCCCATAAAGCTTAGAAATCCCCCCCCAGTCTGCCCCAAGGACACAGCATCTCCCTATTGGGGTTTGGGGGTATTCACAGGTACCGATGTATTGACCTCAGTGCTTCAGGTGTCACCCAGCTGCGAGCCTGCAGGCACTGGGTCAGTACCAGTGTTTTCAGGCCCATGCTGACCCTTTTCATTCATGTTTCAGACAATTTGGTCCTCATCTACATCGTGGTGGGGGTGGTCTGCACGGTGCTGGCGCTGCTGGTGGCTGCAATTCTTTACCTCATCCGGGCAAAGCAGAGCAAAGGTAAGGAAACCAATGGCAGAAGAGAAGCTGCTCCTGACCCCCTTTTCCCTCATTGGAGCATCAGGGGATGCTGAATTCCCAGCTCTGCTCCTGCAGCTCCTGCCCAAAGGGAAGGACAGAGCGGAGCTGACTGGGTTGGTTGCAGGGAAGGCTCTGCCCCGTTGCTGCTGTGTGCCAACGGCTGCCAGAGTCAAACCTGCTTGTGTTCATTGTGCCCAAAATACCTGACCCTCCCTTGCAGCTCCTGCAGGGAATGGAGCAGAGCTCTAGCAAACTGCCTTGGGAAAAGATGGGTATCTGCTCCTGCAGCAGTCTCTGCATGGGGGCTGGCATTCCATGGGGAAGGAGGGGGGTCCCATTGTTTCCTGGTCTGTTTCTTTCCTAAACCATTTCTCTTCCGGCAGGTAAAAGCTCACCGTCAGCTAGGTAAGTGCAGCCCTCTAGTCACTGATTAACCCATGGGCTCTTTGAGCCTGCCAACAGGCTCCTTTGGGGCTGGGATGCAGCCGGATCCCTAAAAGCTTGTTGCTAAAGGGAAGGCAGGAGCACAGGCGCTGCCCATCTCCCTGGCTGTGGTTCTGCCCCTGCAGTGAGCTCGTAGCCAAACACTTGGCGCTTGGTGGGGCTGCACAAGGGGGTGGGAGGTGGGATTCCAGCCTGCAGAGATGCAGCTGGACCAGCAAGTGAGCAAACACTCACTGGTGGGGACTCATCCTGCTGGGTGCTGCTGCAAGGAGCTTGTTCTGCATCCGCCCCCCCCAGCTGCTCCATCACAAGGGAAGAGGCAATGGGACGTTTGCTTGATGTGACTTTTGCTCCCCTTTTCAGGTTACACGAGCCGGAGAAGAGCAGCGAGGCCAATACGCAGGTGATGCACTGACCCCGGGCAGGGAGCGCAGTGGGGCGGCACCGGAGGCAGGAGGAGGGTGGTTCCTGCATGAAACATCCCCGTGCCTCCAGTGGAGGGTGGTGGTTCCCCTGTGAAGCATCAGAGTCTCCACACAGCGGCAGGCGAGGGAAGGAGCGCTGCCCCGGCAATGGGGTAGCCACTTCCAGCATCTTTTCTGCCTTGGCCCTCTCCTCCTCGTCCTCCTCCTCGTGGAAGTCTGGGTTTGTAGTGCCTGAGAGCCAGCTGTGCGATAGCCGGCCGGGCTATTTGTGGAGTTGTTTTGCATTCGGTGACGCAGCTCCGAGCAAAGTCGTGATCAGCAGCAATCTGCCCATCCCACCCAGCCTCTGCCAGCTCCGGCGTGGGCATCGCTGGGCAGCCTGGCCCCTGCTCATCCTCGCACTCAGAGTGCGCCTGCATCCAGGGTGGCGCTTGAGTCATGGGGCTGGTGCTGAAGCCTGTCAGCGGGGCTTGGTGCTTTGAAGATGTAACGTGGGGTGAAGCATTGCTGTGGGGGCATCGCTCCCCTTCATCACAGCCTGGTTTGTGCTGGAAGGGACCTTAAAGCTCCTCCAGCTCCAACCCCTGCCACGGGCAGGGACCCCTTCCACTGGAGCAGCTTGCTCCAAGCCCCTGTGTCCAACCTGGCCTTGAGCACTGCCAGGGATGGGGCAGCCACAGCTTCTCTGGGCACCCTGTGCCAGCGCCTCAGCACCCTCACAGGGAAGAGCTTCTGCCTAAGAGCTCAGCTCAGTCTCCCCTCGGGCAGGTTCAAGCCATTCCCCTTGCCCTGTCCCTACAGGCCCTTGTAAACGATACCCCCTGTACAAGCAGAGAGCAAGCTGCAGTGGGATTGACCCCAGTGCAGGGTTTGGGCTGGTGGTCATGGGGAGGCTCCTCACTCATGCTTCCAAAGGACGAACTCCTGTTGTCCCCGACAGGAATCCGACCCCAACAACGTGACCTACGCGGACCTGAACTTCGACAAAGAGAGGAAAACCATCCGCCGCATGGTGGAGATGAGCCAGCAGTCGGAGTACGCCTGCATCCAGAGCAGCCGGGCGCCCAACGGCGATGACAACCTCACCTACGCCGACCTGGACATGGTGCACCTGAGCAAGGCACCGCCGCGGCCGGCCCCGCGCCCCGAGGAGGCCGGCTCTGAGTACGCCAGCGTCCAGATCCCGAGGAAGTGAGCAGGGCTGCAGCGGGACCCCTGCGTCACGGGGAGCCAGCCTGCTCCTGCCCGGGAGGATGCTCTTGGGAGCACCGAGAGCCATGTGAAGATGCGCTGCGGTACCCGCGTTTTGGGATGGAAATGGAGCCCCCCGCACGGGTCGGGGTTGGCTCCCATCCGCAGAGACCTGATTTTAGGGGGCAGCTCTGTCCCGGGGCTGCCGGCTCCATCCCTTGGGGATCCCCCCCGTAGCCATGGGGACTGCTCAGCCTCGGAGTGCCGGGATTGCCCGTGAGCGGGTTAATCCGGCGGAGCAGCGACAGTGCCTCCACGCCGGCTCCCGTGGGAATGCCACCGCCGCCCTGACCCCGCAGGGATGGGCTGGAGCCCCTGCACTGCCTTCTGGGGCCCTGCTGCCTGGAAACCAAACTGGCTTTAAAGGAAGGATCGGAGCGTCCGCATCTCTCTTCCCAAGTGTCCCTTCTGCGGGATCTCAGTCTCGCCACAAGGCCAATGATGCTGGGAAGGCCGGCGAGCCAAGCCCCCCCACCCCGCAGGCTTCTACCCATCCTACCGCCCAAGGATGCTCCAGATACGGCCCCTCCGGCACCGAGCATCCTCTTCCTCACCCTCTACACAGCCTTGCCCTGCCCAGGCTTGTACAACGCGTGCAGCTCATCCCGAGCCGGTGCCCCCCCATCCCGGTTCCCCCCGCAGGTACCGTGTAACATGTTCTGACTGTTTGCCATGTAACTGTTAATGCCGCGAGCTAAACCCCAATGTTCCGTGCTGTCCGTGGGTGTTCTGCTCTGTACTTAACACTAGAATTCAGATGCGCCAAACGAAGAGCGAGGCCTCAGCTGAGACCCCCCTAAACCCCACAGGGCTCTAAAGGGACTTGCACATCCCCTCCCCAGCTCTGAGCGGGGGCCAGGCAGGCTCATCCGTGGGGGTCAGTGTCTTCCATGTGCCCTGCGCCCCAATACACAGGGACACCACGCGGGTGGCCTTGCGGCATGGGGCTGGCCCCCCATGGTTGCCGGTGGGGGGAGGGGCTGGGGATGCGGTGGGACTGCTTGTACAAAATTCTTTTGGTTTCTTCTTCTTTTTGCTTGCGAGATATTTTTATAATAAAAGTGGAAAGTCCTGTGCTGCTCCCCCCCATCAGCAACAGTGTCCCCGTGCACTGGGGGCTGCGTGCCCCATAGCAGGGAATGGGGAGTCTCAGCTTGCACAGGGAGGAAGAGCGGCAGGAGGCTGAAGGTTGGGATGAGGGCTATAGGAGTGGTACCCCTGTGCAGCCCTGCTCCATCCTTAGGTGGGGCAGCAGTGATGGCACATGGGGTCCTGCATCCCCATCAGCACCCATGGCACAGGGACGGTACCACTCCATGCTGCCTGATGGTCTCGGCTGGCACCCATGGCCCACCCTGCTAACCCACCAGGGATGCATGGTCCCTTCATGCCAAGGGTGTGGAATGGCCCATGGAGGATGCTCAGCACAGCTTTGGCTTTGTTGGCATCTGCCTTTTATTGGCTGGGGTGGGGGGAGAAGGGGCACAGGTCCAATGCTCCAGCTCCTCCTTCCCGGTGCTCAGAGGCCATTGCCCTCTACATCAGCCACGATGGTTCCCAAACCCTGCTGTGCTCTGCAGCTGTGGGGGGGTGGAGGATATGTGTGTGTCTCCCCCTTGATTTGCCCCTAGGACCCACAGCTGCCCCACCAGCAGCCAGAGGGGTGGCACTGTCCCCTTGGTACCTGGGGTCCCTAGGGGATGAGCAGTTGAACCAGGGAGGGATCACTGGGGATGGAGACCTGTGGTCCCCTGGGTGGATGAGGCAGGGATGATGCCAACCACACCGGACTGGGAAAGGGATGGGGGCCATGGGGTGATGGCACAGTCCAGGCTGGCAGCGTGGGGACCGTGGGGCCGGGCTCTATAGGTCCAAGACCTCCCCTGAGTAAGCACTGGGGTCCTCGTCCGCCCGCGTGTTCACCTTGAACTGCCGCCGCAGGAAGCCCCCGTAGCGCTTCTGATTGTCCCACTTGAGCTTGGGCCGGATGCGGCGCATGAAGCCGCCGTAGCGCTTGTGCAGCTCCTGCCCCTCGGCCCCCGTGGGCTCCTCCTCGCCCCCAGCCCCTGCCAGCCCCGGGTAGTCCTCGGGGGCCTCCCGCTCCCCGGGCTTGCGGCCGAAGCCCCCGAACTTCTTGCTGAGGCCGCCCTTGCTGTGGGCGTTCTCGCGCAGCAGGGACAGCAGCTTCCCCTTGGACATCTTCTTCATGAAGCCCCCGTAGCGCTTGGCCGGCGCCAGCGGCTGCTCCCCGGGACCCGGCTCCGGTTCTGCCTCCTCCTCCTCTTCCTCCTCCTCCTCCCGAGGGGCCGGGTCCATCCCCTCAGCCTGAGCCACCAGCGGGGCCAGGAGCGCCAGCGCCTTCCTGCACGTGTCCCACTCGGGGCCGGGGGGTGAGGAGCCCTGGCATTCCCATAGGCACATCTGCAAGACAGCAGCCCCAGGACCCCCACGGGCATCACCTCAGTGCTCCGGGTCCTCCCTGGTCTCCATCCCACCCTGCTTCTGGGGTTCCCACAAGCATGGGAGTCTGCGCCCACTGTGATCCCAAGCATAGCAAGGAGCTCCAGTTTCCCCGCTCCCATCACCCTGTGGTACCCGCAGCACCAGCACCCGGGATGCTGTGACTCACCAGGGGCCGAATGCTGGTCTCGGTGCCGTGGGTCTGTGCTGCACAGAGGGAGCACTGGGTCACGCAGTCGGCCGATGCCGCCGCAGCCAGGGAGAGGCAGAGCAGCAGCACCAGCGCCCGCCGCACCATCGCACCCTGCAGCCACTGCCTGGGAAGGGAGACACAGAGCCCATCGCCCTCCCTGTGCTGGCCCCATCACTGCCCCACCGGCACCCTTAATGCAGGGCACCGTCCATCTGCGCCTGCAGGGCTGCTCCTGGGGACGGGCACCAGGACCCCGTGCCCGTGGAACTCACCTCTGGGTCCACGCAGGGAGAGAAGGGGACAGGAGTGACTGCAGGGATGCTGCGGGATGTGAGTGCTCACCCTGGCTGCAGCCTGATCCTTGGCACAAGCCTGGAGCCTCTCAGGGCCCCAGGTGTACCGAGGTCCACAGAGACCATCATCCCATCCCATCCCCTCCCATTGCATCCCTCTCTCCTTCCACACCATTAGAAAGCCCCTTTTTATCCTCACTGTTGAGTTTCTCTGCAATATTGTGATCACTTCATTAGCACGGAGGAGATTACCCACGGGCTCTCCCCATTGGCCTTGGGGAAGAAAAGCACCGCAATTGCAGCCACCGGCAGAAAGGGGACAGGGTGATGCCATCATCAGGTATGAAGCCACCCCACACCTGCACAGCCCTGGTTCCTCTCCCTCCCACTACTGCATCTGCTGCAGCAGGAGAAAAGCTGGATCCCAGGCTCAAGCCAGGATCACCACCTCCCAGCCTGCTCGGAGCAGAGCCAGAGCCTCTCACCTCCATGGGTGAGGCCAGGGAGGGCTGAACTCGCTGTGCAATGGCTGGGAAAGGGGCTGTGCTGCTCCAGAACCCCTCAGCAAGGCTGGAGGCGACAGTGCCAGCCCCAACTGCGGTGCCACAGGACCACGGTGCCACCGGGACCATGACAGCCATGGGCGCAAGAGCCGACCCCAATGGGATGCGCTGGCAGCGAGCCCCTGCCTACCTCCTTGCCTGCTTTCATCTAGGGTGGAAAGACATGACCCAAAGGGATGTGTTACACATTAATGACGCATATCCGAGACTATTGTATTCTCCAGCACTATCTGCTAATGCTCTGTAATTGGTCCTGATGAAGAAGTGTTAATGCCACGGTATTAATTCAGGCTAGATTAAAACTTCATTTGAATTATCCGCACCGCCGTGTGTCGCGCTCTCTGCATTCCCTGGCACCTCTGCCAGTCCTGGCACATTGATGGGCACGGAGGCACCTCTGCCAGTCCTGGCACATTGATGGGCACAGAGGGACCTCTGCCAGTCCTGGCACATTGATGGGCACGGAGGCACCTCTGCCAGTCCTGGCACATTGATGGGCACGGAGGCACCTCTGCCAGTCCTGGCACATTGATGGGCACAGAGGGACCTCTGCCAGTCCTGGCACATTGATGGGCACAGAGGCACCTCTGCCAGTCCTGGCACATTGATGGGCACGGCGGCACCTCTGCCAGTCCTGGCACGTTGATGGGCACGGAGGCACCTCTGCCAGTCCTGGCACATTGATGGGCACGGAGGCACCTCTGCCAGTCCTGGCACATTGATGGGCACGGAGGCACCTCTGCCAGTCCTGGCACGTTGATGGGCACGGAGGCACCTCTGCCAGTCCTGGCACGTTGATGGGCACGGAGGCACCTCTGCCAGTCCTGGCACATTGATGGGCACGGAGTGACCTCTGCCAGTCCTGGCCACCAAGACACAGCAATGGGACCTTGGTACCACACTGAGACAGCAGCGATGAGCGAGGACCCGCTCAGGTAAGTGCTGGCTGCAGCACTGAGGGGAATGATGCTCCTGAGAACCACCCACTGCTTCCAGCAGCTCCACTGGGAATCTTTTCCCTTCTTTTCCTAATGTTTCCCTTCCCTTTCCCATGCTGTGTGCTGGTGTCACTGGAGCAGCATGCAGGGATCGCTCCATCAGTGCTCAGATGCGACCGGCACCGCACAGCTCAGTCCCTGGCATTTCAGACATGGTCCCATCCCTGTCACCCGGCTCCATCCAGAGCACCCCATGGCACTCAGGGGAGCTGCAGCGTGGCCAAGGACCCTCCATGCCCATGCACCCCAGAACACCCCACTCCAAACGTACTTTGTCCATCTCCCTGCTCCTGCAGCCAGTGGGGGGTGACTGGGAAAACTGGGACAGGAAAAGGGAGAAAAGCAAAGGGCTTTGGTTAAAAGCGAAAAGCAGCAGCACACAAAGGGGGGAGGAAGAAAAGCAGAGTTAGATTTGGATCCTGCGTTACCTGGAGGAGCCCGAGGCTCTGGAGCCATCCCTCCTGCGGGAACACCTCGGTAGCAATGCCAGTGTGGGTCCCAGCACATCCTACCTGTGTCAGGCACCCGCTGGGATCCCTGCTCCCCATCCTGCTTCCACTCGAGTGCTCGGTGCCCAGGTTTCTTGTGTGTGGAAAAGCCCCGAGCTGCATCCACGCACCCCGGGGCCAGTTACAGACCCAAGGAGGGACGGGGAACCCTGGTGTGTGCTCCACAAGGAGCGACCCTGCATCCTGGTTAACCTCTGGTTATCGCTAGTGGGATGTGAACAGCTCTCCCAGAGCTCTCCTCCCACACAGGTCTAACCCAGGCAGGTCGGGACCCTGCACGTATTGCTGGTGGAGAAGAAGAATCCACTTCCAGCAGTTCCTTTCCTCACCTTTCAAAACGATCTGGAAGCACCTTCGGGACAAGGCTCTTCCTAAAAGACAACGACTTTTGGGACAGCATCACAGCAAACCCCAAGCTGCTGCTTGACACAGAAACCTCCCTCCATCCTCTCCCCTGGCTCCCTTTGTCCCTCTTAGCCCCGTGTGACCCGAGCCCAGAGGTGGCATCAGCACGGAAGCAAACCCCAGCTCTGGACAGCAGCTCACGGGCTCTGAGCCCACTCGAGGGACGAGGAGGACATCGCCACAAGCCCCACCGTGACCCGCTCCTGGCCCCACGGCTCAGGTCTGCCCCTTCCTGAGTGACACCAGGCGATGGGAGCCCGGCTGCAGCCCTACCTGCGCTGGGTCGGGACCGGTGGATGCGCTCCCTCCGCGGGCTTCAGGCTGAGCCGCGCATCGGCAGGGCCGCGGTGCCGCCGGACTCGCCACCCGCCGCCTCTCACCCCGCTTTTATGGCCACGGAGCCTCCTCCTGCGGCGGGGCCCGGCTGCGCTCGGCGCCGTGGAGCCAATCGGGGCGAGGGAGGCTGTGAATAATCAGCCCCGCAGCATCCTCAGCACCTCCCGAGCAGGTTCTCCCGCTGTGCCAGGGGCTCCCCACAGCCCGCCCCGGCTGCCCTGAGGACTGGGGTGCACGTCCCATCACTGCACTGCCACCGACAGCATCCCTCGGGGACCCCGTCGGGGCCAGCCTCGTCCAGCGGGGCTGAAACTTATGCTCCAGACACAGGAGGTGGCAGCTTGGGGTCCATCTGCCCCCCTGGTTGTGTGCTGGAGGGGTTTTGCTGCTGGGGGTGTGAATCCCCCCTGAGCACCGCATTCAAATCCTGCCCAAGGGGGATGAAGCCCTGATTCCCCACTGCGCCCTGCGCTCCAGGCTGGGGAGATGCTGGGGAGAGGACTGAGCCCATGTGAAGTGGCCAGGATAGGCAAAGGAGGGTCTTAATACACTGGGAAAGGCTGGTGTCCCCCCCTAACCCACCCAGCCTGGCTGCTGTCAGGCAGCAAAGCCCTTGCACAGACCCCCTCCATGTCCTCGCTGTCGGGGCTTGGACTCACCGGACTGCCCCTCTGTTCCTCCTCCTCTTGAGGACAAGCCCACAGAGCTGAGTCAGAGGGGCACGGGGACCAGAGTGGGAGGATGGAGACCCCCTCCCACCCCCCCAGCATCCCTGCTCAGCCCCAATTCCTGTCCAAACATCTCCAAGCCTGATCTGGGGGTGAAGGAGGGCAGCACCGGCAATACCAGACCCTCAGCCCCTGCACCACTGTCCCCCTGCACCACATCACGATAGAGGTGTGGGGCTGGGGGTCCAAGGCACAGACCCCACGGGTCCGGGCCACCCGGTCCTGTTCCTGCGCTGCCGGCAGCGCAGCCCCGTCCTCTCGCCTTGAAGATGGAGCTATTTATATCGGAGCTCAAGAGGAATGTTTCCCAGCAACCTGCCTTTCTCCCCGGCTCCAGCAGCAGCTGCCGGACCCGGTGGCCCCTGCTCATCCTCCCAGTGCTGGTGGGGGGGCACAGGGACCACCGGCATGGCCAGGAGATTCCACTGAGCACCCAGCAACCAGGGCTGGATGGGCAGAGCAGCCTGTGCCAGCTGCCTGTGGTCCCCTATCCCCATGGCTGGTGCCACCTCCATGGCACCCATGTTTGGGTGCCAAGCTCTGCTCCCCAGAAAGCACACGGGACCCCACAGCTTTTGCTTAGAGGTGAACTTCAGCTTGCCCAGGCTGGGGCTGCACCAGCTCTGAGGGATCAAGGGAGCAGGGGCAAGGCAAGGGCAGAGCATCCTGCATCTCCCCAGCACTGATGGAGGAGATAGCCCCTGCGGGACCTAGCCGGGGGCAGAGGGCATCCATGGCCTCCCTCATTGTGGTGAGCTGGGCTGTGCAGGCACAGAACAATGCAGAGAAGAACAAAAGCTGCAAATTACCCTCAGTCAGGGGCTTCCGGCACCCCCCTGGCAGGTTTAACCCGAGGGGGTGGGGGTGGAGGTTTTCTTACACCAAACCCATCCTTTCCATCCAGTAGCCCTCTCAAATCCATGAATCCATCCCTAAAGCCCGGTCTCCTGGGGTCAACCTCCTATTCTGCAGGCAAACGGCTCCATGCAGGAGCAACAGCATCGCCCCAAAGGCTGGTGCCTGCCCAAAAGCAAAGCTGCTTCCAGCACCCCCTAAACCAAACAGCCCCGGGTGCAGCCACCTCCTATGCAGGGTGATTGCACAGGAGGGAGATGCGCTTCTGATGATGGAGCAAACCCCATAGGCATGAGAGAGAACTTGTTTGTGATAAGGTTTCTTCCTGATCACAATATTCCTCATCAAGGCTGATTCCCTTTGCTCCGGGGGGGAGGTTGAGTGACTCCTGTCCCCGGAGCAGAGCTGGTTTGTTTTCTATGTGTGCTACAGATGTGCTGGGCTGGGCGAGGGGGTCCTCACTGGGGCTGGTTGGGGTCCAGGCCGCCGTGGATGGGGGGGATAACGGGGTCCTTTGGGAATGGAGCTGGGAGCGAGCCCACCCACCAGCAAGTTTAGTTAATATTCATCTGTCGCTTCCTAATGGGAAAGTGTCTGTGAGTCACACTGACATTTCCCTGGGACAATGGGAATAAGCACCTGGGTAAGAGAAATACGAACACTAATAGGAAAGTTAAGTTTTCATAAGTACATGAGTGAGGAGCGGGCTCGGCGAGGAGGGGGACGAGCTGCGCACCGAGAGCAAGTGGGAGGTAATGGCACCAACGTCACACAGCGCTGCCGCTCTGCCCGACACCCCCAGCACACACAGGGCCCCTCCAGGGTGCCCCTTTCCCATGCTGGGATGGGGAAAACCATCCCTGCAGGCAGGATGCTGATGGGGGGAGCGTTTGAAGGCGGCCGCTCCGCTGTGGCTCCTATTGAGCTTTATCCTATTGAGTGGGACAGGGATTTTCCAGAAGCTCCTAAACGCTCCAGGCCCTAAATGAAGGCCAGGCTGCCATGGCAGGGCAGGGAGCTGGCTGTTTTGCAGGCAGATGCAGGCAGGGCAGGGAAGCAGCAGTTTTGCAGGCAGATGCAGGCAAGGGATGCCTGCAGCTGCTACAGAGTAAGAGATGCACTGGATGCATTTTGTGGGCTGCAAGAGACCCTGGTAGCTCCATGGGGAGAACTGTGGGGGTGATCTGAGCCTGGAGGATGCTCCCAAACTCCCTTTGGAGTCATTCACTCTGCTTGATCACAGCACCCCCCGATGAACCTCGTCTGGAGGCAGACGCTGGGCAGGCAGGGGGAGGTCACTGCTGCAGTGTGGGGACCAGGACCCGGTCCAGCCCCTGCCTGCATCACACCGCGGTGGCTCGATGTCACTGCGCAGCCCATGCGGGCACATGGTGACCTCCCTGCATGGGCAAAGAGGCACAAGTGGCCACTCCATGCGGCACAAAGAGGGGAGCCCACGTAACAGAGCGAGGCACGGCGCTGCCATCACCCCCCGCCGGGAGCGCTGGGCTGCGGAACGGCCCCCGCATCCCCCGGCCTGGAGGTGAAGCGGCTCCATTTAAAAGCAAATTGAGCTCAAAGCACTTGCGGGAGCTGCAGCCTGAGCCGCAGAGGCTCAGCTCTGACGTGGGGCCATCACCTGCCCTGCACCGCTGGTGGCTCGCAGGACCTCCATCCTCCCTGGGGTGGGGACCGGTGCGATGCAGCCCGGAGCTGCTGCGTGATGGCAGCGGTACAAGCCTCGGGGGTGAGTCAAAACCCAGGTTCCTCCATAAACCAGCTCCGCAGATGCTCTCCTTGACCATCGCTGCCTGCTGCTAATGTCACCCGTGCCGGGGCTGGGAAAGGCAGGGAGGAGCGGCTGGAAAATGACCTCGCATGGGGTTTGATGCCCCTTTCCCCCCCCGAATCCATCTGCCCACCCCGTTAGCCCGAAGCCCAGCAGCCCGGTGGCAGGATTAGACCCATCCACAGTGCCTGGGGTGGATGGATGCTCATGAAGTCCCCAGCCGGAGGATGCAAAGCAGTCTGGGGACAGTGTGCAGGACATGGCCCCCTGTGCGGGGACAAGAACACCCCACAGCTCCTGCCCGAGGGAGCAACGCGGCCAAACCGGCCCCGCAGCAGCCGGGACTCGAGTACCGGGGGTCACGGTGCTCCCACGGGGAGGGGGCCTCGCTGCAGCCCCAGGGCTCCCACCCGCGCCGCAGCCGCCGTGTCCCGGTTTTGGCCATCGGGGTGGTCCCCATCCCACGGGCACCCGGGGATCAGCTGGAACCCTGGGACCGGGGGTCTCGAACCGACCCCAAGCCCCGCGCCCACCCTTCCCGGTGCGGCCGCACGGCCCCGGCGCACCGAGCCCCCCGCACCGTGGGGCTCCGGCACTGCGGGGTCCGATCCCCCGGGCACGGCCCGAGGCCATCACCGCCCATTCCCGGTGCACGGGGGGGGCGGGTCACCCCCGCCGTTACATAAGGGTGACGTCAGAGCGCCCCGCCCCTCCCGGTCACACGGCCCCCGGCCCGGAGCCCGCCGCTGCGGCCCAGGTGAGCACCGTGGGCTGGGCCCGCGCCGCCTGTGCCGGGCCCGGCGGGCGGGGCTGGGGTGGGGACACCGGGACCGGGGCGGTGGCAGCGGGTGCCCGCCCCGATGACCGGCCTGTTTACACCGGGGCGGCGCGTACCACAACGGCGGGGGGGCAAGGCGGGTGGTAGTTGCGCGCAGTCCCCGCCGCGCTGAGCCGCCCTGGCAGCGCGGCGCCCCGGTTACCGAGCACGGGGTTGTGGGTACCGGGTTCCCACCACCGAGGCCCATCCCGCTGCCGGCTGCGTTCCGGTTCCTGGCTCCGTGCCCGCGCTCCCCCCCTCGCCGCCGCCATGGTTCGTCCCGCGCCGCCGCGATTGGCCGAGCGCTTAAAGGGGCAGGCAGCGCGCGCTTTTCCGCCCTCGCCGGCGCGGCGCATCCCGGTGCGCGGGGCGGGGGGGGCAGCGGCGGCGGGAGCGCGGCCCCCCCTCGGCGGCGCCATGGAGGCGGCGGATGGCGGCCGCCGCGGGACACAAAGGGCAGCGCGGCGGCGGCGGCGGAGGGCGGCTCAGCGGGGCCCTATGGCGGCGGCGGCGGCGGCAGCGCAGGGGCCCGGCCCGGTTGGCGGCGGCGGAGCTCCGCGGTACAGCCTGCTGGCCGAGATCGGCCGCGGGGCCTACGGCGTGGTGTACGAGGCGGTGTCGGACCGCAGCGGCGCCCGCTTGGCGGTGAAACGGATCCGTTGCGACGCTCCCGAGAACGTGGAGCTGGCGCTGGCCGAGTTCTGGGCCCTGACGAGCCTCCGGCGGCAGCACCCCAACGTGGTGCGCTTCGAGGAGTGCGTCCTGCAGCGGCACGGCCTGGGGCAGCGCATGAGCCACGGCAACAAGCGCAGCCAGCTCTACCTGCGCCTCGTGGAGACCTCCCTCAAAGGTACCCGACCCCCCCTCCTCCCGGGCCTCCCGCACCCCCCGTTACCCGCAGCGGGGCCGTGCTCACAGCAGGTGACCGGTGGGACACCCCCTCCTTGCTCCTCATCACCACCCCATTGCTCAGACCTGGGGTCCCCAGCACCCTCCCTTCCCCCTTAACTCACTGTTTCTCCTGTGTTTTTCCCCATGGCTCCTCTGGCCTGCTCCTTGCCAGCCCTGCTGCCCCTCTGTCCCAGCCACGCTCCCATCACCTGCCCCTGTTGGCTCCCTGTGCTGCCCCAGCACCCCCTCTTTGGTGCCACCCACCCTAAGGACCCCTGTGGGACCCCCACCCAGCAGCCCCTGTGCTGTGCCCTTGGGCTCTGCCTGTGCATCCTCTCCCCTTTCTCCCCTTCCTTTCCATGCTGCTCCCAGGGACACCTCTCTTGAAGCCCCCACCCTGTTCTTCCTGTGCCCTCCTTGTGGGCTCTCTCCTTTTACCCTGCATCTCTGCAGCACCCCATCCCTGACCCCCTCCTCCTGAGGGACCCTGTTGTCACCTCCAGGCTTGGACCCAGCCCTGAGGAGCATCCCTGTGTGCTCCCCTCAGCCCTTCCCAGCATCCCTGACCCCGTCTCCTGTACATCCCTTCTCCTGAGGCTCTGCGCCACAGCCACGCAGCCCCTGACCTGTGCCCCAGCACACACACGCACGCATCCCTCACTGCTCTCTGTCCTGCTCGCACCAAGGGGACATCCCTCCTGTCTCTGCCTGACCCACAGTCCTGTCTGCTCCGAGCCCCCCAGGGCTGCAGCCCCTCTGGTGCCCTGTCTGCTCCCTCGAGCTCTTACACCTTTGGGACCGTTCTTTGTGTTCTCCTGGTTCCCCTCTGTGCTGGCTCCATGGGTTCAGCCCTGGAAGCACCAGTGCCCATAGCCTGGGCTGACACCCCCGTCTTCCCCTGGGGCCCCTCAGCAGCATCACGGGGCTGTCAGGGGTCACCTTCTTCTCTCACAGCCGATCACTGTGATGGTGACGTCTCCAAAATGCTCCCTTGCATCCCCTGCTCCCTCAGCTGCTTGTCAGACCCAGCTCTTGCCAGTGTGGTAAAGTACAGGACCCCTGTCTGCTCAATGCCTCTGTGCCCCCAGCTTCCAGAGCCAGCTCACCTCACAGCCTCCATCCCCAAACTTGGGTGCCAGGGCTCCCATATGCTCCTTGAGGAGCTCGGTTTCCCCATGCTCCCTGGTATAGGCAGTCTCCAGACCCTGTGCCAGGCACAGACTTCACCCAGGGCTGCCAAGGCCCCCATCCTCTGAGCAACCCTCAGGGTCTCCGACTGCCCCTGCCCTTCCTGTCCCCTCTGCACTGCTGGGAGAGCATGTCTGGACCTGCCTGGCTCTCCCCTGTGCAGACCTCATCCTGCTCTCCCCGTGCATTCCACTCACAACCACCCACGGGAGGCTCCCCAAGGGCAGTGTCCTGGTTTCTGCATAGCCTGGGTGCTTCCTTCGTGTGCTCTCCCAGGCACAGCTCCCTAGGGAGGAGCCAGCTCTTCCCTTTGGCTGTGTCCAGCTCTACCAAGTCATGCTCTGTCTGCACATACAAGATTTCTGGCTCCTTTTGGCTCACACCCCATGAAGAGGCTTGGGGAAAGCTCTTGGGTACCTGTAGGCCCCCCATCTCTAGGCAGGGAGAGAACCCCCTGCCTTCCCTTCCCATGTGCTGCCCTGCTTCTGCTGCATCCCTCTGAAGAGAGGAGCGGAGCTGAGCCCTCCATCCCAAGGCTGGAGAGCAGCAGTTTCACTCCCCAAACCAGGATGTGTCCTCCCCTCCATCTGCCTTCTTCCTGGGTGCCCTGTGGGCTGCATTGTGCTGGCCTTGGGCTCATGCAGAGGTCGTGCTCACTGCCTTCCTTTGGGTCTGATACAGCACTGATAAGGCTTTTCAGAGCAAAAGCTGGGGCCAGGGGAGCCTGCAGGTCTGGTGTGTCCCTCCCCATGTGCAGCAGCAGGGCTGTGCTGGGCTGGGCTGTGCTGTGCTGCCGTGCTGCTCGGCACGACCGCAGCGGGGCTATTTACGGGCCAGCACAGATGCTGTGCCAACGTGCCGGGGCTCAGGGCACGGCAGGGATTAATCAGCCTTGCTGCATCAGGAGCACCACTGCCGGGGTACCAGGCGCTGTTGGGGCTCAGCTACAGCAGAGCCCGACCCCTCATCGGTTTAATGGGATGGGGAAGGAAGGGTTTAAGGGGTGGAGAGGAAGCTGGGAGCCTGGAATGAGCCTGAGGAGAGGCACATCCCTGAGGAATGTGCTTGGTGCCATGATACACGTGTACCTTCAGGGCTGTGCTGTGCGTGCCCATGTGGCTGCCCCATCCCTGGCAGTGTTCAAGGCCAGGCTGGATGGGGCTTGCAGCAAGCTGCTCCAGTGCAAGGTGTCCCTGCCCATGGAGGGGGGTTGCAACTGAATGAGCTTTAAGGTCTTTTCCAACACAAACCAGTCTGGGATGATTCTCTGTGCTCCTCTTGTTCCTAATCCATAGCATCCAGGCTTTGTGCTGCGTGCAGCCTCTTTGCACAGAGGGAGTCAGAGGTTACCTGTGGGGAGTGGGATGCTGGGTCTGCTGTCATTACACTCTTTTCTACCTGTGATACTAAGCAAATTAGAAGCTGTTAACAAGCTCCCAGGGTAAGGGGTGGGAGGCCTGCTGTGAGGATGGAGAGCTCGGTGAGTGCTGTTCTGTTTGGGCAGGGGATGCTCTCTTTGTGATGGAGAACAGCTCTGGCCTGTCTGCCTCTCTTCAGCTCTTGGCTGCTTGACATCAGTTTGCAAACATCTCGTCTTTAGGAAGCGCCTTGCCAGCTCTTTATGTTTCAAGCTGTTTGTTTTGAAGGTAGGAAGATGATTTAACAACTCAAACACTTTCTGATTATAGAAAGAAAACGAGGAAATATTACTCTTGGCTGCAGCCCCTGTGAGCAGCACTCCACCCAAAGTGAAATGCATGGGGCTTGCAGCTACTGCTGTGTCAGGGGCATCCTCCCTCTGCTTGCTGAGGCTCAGGGGCCAAGTTTCACATCAGAACCTTTGTTAGGCTAAAACCAAACCTTGGCTTGACCAGGTGAAGCTATTTGAGCCGTGTGAATGCTCTCACCCTCCCACGTACATGCCCTGGCTATGTGTGATGGGCCGTGGGGCTTGCTGTGCCCATCCTCATGTGGTTCCTGGCTGGGAAGGCCCAAACCCTTCTGCTCCCCATGTAGGGGCTCTGTGGATGCAGAGAGGAGCAGGAAAGCAAAGCTCTGTGCCCTGCTGGGTGTCACTGGTGTTTAGCAAACCCGAGTGCTGTGAGCAGCCTCTGCTGCAGTTTCCATGCTGTCATACTGGCCTTGCCAAAGGGGGTGGCTCACACCAGAGAAGCCGCTTTTCCTGGGCACTGTTTTGGCCTCCAGAGCCAATCTGTCCTGGGCTGCTCCAATGTGGCCCTTGGGTTCATGTGCTGAGCCCCCCTCCTATGCTTTAGGGGTCTCATTTAGCGCGCTCATTGCTTTGTGTTCCCAGCCTATTCATGCTCCCTCCCGACACCCAGACCTAGAAGATTGCTGAGGGCAGGAGGTTCAGCCAAATCTTGCTGTTGTTCAGACTCCCATTTCCATAGCAGTAGCCATGGATACAGACTGTTTGTGCAAATAACCAATATTCCCACCCACAGCAATCGCTGACCATCACGGGGCAGCCCAGGGCTCGGTGTTCATCAGAGCCCTTGGCTTTACCTGCTCCTGGAAGCTTCTGCTTTGCCCAGATGCTCTCTAGGGCTTTGCTATGGGTGGAGATACTGAAGTGCTTCCAAAACACCCGGGGACCTGAACTGTGTCATAGGCCAGTGGTGGCCTCCAGCTTCCCTCTCTTACGGTGTTTGAGGGAACAAACCCTGGTTCCCGGAGCCCTGGCTGTGTGTGCAGGCTCTGCCCGTCCTCTCAGTGCTCTGTGCAGGTAAACTGGGGTCTGGAGTGGGGTTTGCATCCTGGCATCAGCTGATGGGGCTGGGTCTGCTGCTGGGATTCCCTAGGGCAGCCTCGCCACTGGAGCACCAGGTTGTGCTGGGGAATACCAGCGGCAGACCCAGCCCTATTAGCTGATGTGGTGCTGTTGCATTTCTCTCTGTGTCTGGTTATGGGCCAGAGTGTTTTGCCTTGGCAGGGGGCTTGTGGAGTAAGATGAATTGGACCCGAGATGCTCTGAGCTTGAAGAGCTCAATGGGATGTCTAATGAAGGAAGAAGCTGCTTGGGGGGTAACATTGAGCACAGCAAGTTGGATCCATAAATGTGGCTGAGATTGCACCCAGCAAACCTTGTTTACTGCTTGGGCCTCCAGTTTCCTCTCTTTAAAGACTTGTTGGCACTGTAAGAGCTGTATGAAGTGTTTCTTAGCACAAGTTTAGTCTGAGAAGTGCCAGCTTTGACACTGGGGTGTCTGTTCTCAGCCAGGCTGGACTGGCACATCGTTAAGCCATGTATTTCCTCACAGTTACACTAGGGAGGTATAAGCCAGTTTTGCCTCCTGCAGCAGAGCTCAGGTGGAGAGGTTTTGTTCACACAGAACTGATTTTATTCCTATGGACTTGCTGCTGTTTGTGCCTTTGGTCTCTGCTGCTTTGGCTGTCAGAGCCCAGGGAGAATTGCCTGATGGTAGCACAGGAGAATAACCCCCTGCAAGCATCTGAGAAGCTTGGTCTCACTCACATGTGTGTGCATTGCCTGGAGCTGGGCCCTGACGCAATGGGCTCAGATAAAGGTCATGCTGGTGCATGGCACTCCATGGAAACCTGGAGCATTTGAAACCACAGCAGTGCCACCATCACTGCTGGTACCTTCAAGCACAGTAGATCCCAGTCATGTTCCTAAAACCCTTCCTGTCCACATAAACCAGATCCGTTCCTTGCCCGTGCTGAGTTAGCATGGACATTGTGTAGTGCCTGATGAACTCACGCTTGCTCTTGTCCTTCTTCAGGTGAGAGGATCCTGGGCTATGCAGAGGAACCTTGCTACCTGTGGTTTGTCATGGAGTTCTGTGAAGGAGGAGACCTCAACCAGTACGTGCTCTCACGAAGACCCGACCCAGCCACGAACAAGAGCTTCATGCTGCAGCTGACCAGTGCCATCGCCTTCCTGCACAAGAACCACATTGTCCACCGGGACCTGAAGCCAGACAACATCCTGATAACAGAGAAGTCTGGAACCCCTGTCCTCAAAGTGGCCGACTTCGGGTTGAGCAAGGTCTGCGCTGGCCTCACTGCTCGGGGCAAGGAGGGGGAGCACGGGACCAGGAATGTGAATGTGAACAAGTGCTGGCTCTCCTCGGCTTGTGGCTCTGATTTCTACATGGCCCCCGAGGTCTGGGAGGGGCACTACACTGCCAAGGCTGACATCTTCGCTCTGGGCATCATCATCTGGGCCATGATTGAGAGGATCACTTTCATTGATGCCGAGACCAAGAAGGAGCTGCTGGGGACCTACGTCAAGCAGGGGACTGAGATTGTGCCTGTTGGGGAAGCGCTGCTAGAAAACCCAAAGATGGAGCTGCACATCCCTCAGAAACGCAGGACTTCCATGTCTGAGGGGATCAAGCAGCTCTTGAAAGACATGTTGGCTGCTAACCCGCAGGATCGACCTGATGCCTTTGAGCTTGAAACCAGAATGGACCAGGTTACATGTGCTGCTTAAATTCAGGGCAGGGCACTGCTGTGCTTTGCAGCTGGGTAAGTGATCCTCGGTTTTTGTGTTCTTCTGTCCCCGGTACCAGCCCGATAATGTACTTTGTAGTGACACAAAGGAGGCTTTCATGTTCCCGGAGCTATTTCTATAGTGACTCATCAGAGCACTGCTGCTGAGGTTTTTTCCACCTATTCTACTGCAAAAATAAAAGTAGAGGTGGGAAACAGAATTAGCAGCTACGTGTCCTAATGCTGCCCAAAGGACCAGCAGAGCAGGCATCCTGCTCCTCTGAGGTCCTGCTGGTGCATGGCAGAGGGATCTGCACGCACCTTTGGGTACTTCCACCTCTCCCAGGGGCAGGGAAGGAGCTCCCAGTTCTGCCTCCTCTATGTGGAGTGTAGCATCTAATTTCTAGACCTGTGTCTGCTCAGGCTGAGCTCAGCTCTGCTCAAGCAGAGTCCCCTCCCTTCTCCTCCCAGCTTGGTTTCTAAATAGTCCCAAACTCCGAGGTCCTGGGTGCTCATACATGGTCTGAAAGGGACCCCAGGGACATGGGGCAGTTGGCAGTGTCATTAAGCAGTGATGCTGAAGGGCGGGGAGCTGTTGCCTGCATGGCAAAGCAGTGTGTAAACAGGAGCTGTTACTAGGGATTGTCCTGGCCCAACACTTCAATTGAAGTGACAAAAGACTGATTACAGGGGGTGAGGTCTTCCCAGCCTGGCTCTTGCTGGAGCTGCCTGAGCACTGCTGCTCACAGGAGCCCTCTGAAAGCTTGCCCATGTCATGTGCTGGTGCTGCAGCTCCAGCTCCCAGCCCTGCCCTCACCTCAAAACCACCCAGAACCTGCTGGACCAGAGCAGAGCACAGGTACAGGAGAGCACAGAGGGACGAGCAGGCTGGCCCATGCCCAAGAGTGAGCCTCCAGCAGCAGGAATGTGGGGGCATTTGGGTAGGTGTTGCTAGAAAAGCCTCATTGCTGCCCACCTGAGAGTTCCTGAGCTTATGTAAAGCGATGTCCTGCCCATCCCCTGTGTGTGTGTGTGTTCCTGCATCATTCCCAGATCAGCTTTGTGCTGTATGCAGAGCAATAGGGATATAGAAATGGAAAGGCCCATGGGGTGGGTCTAGTTCTGTCACTGCTGCTTTGTCCAGACTGGCCCACAGACCATCCCTGTTATAAAAGATTCCATTATAAAATGGCATATTTAAGGCCCTGGAGATCTCCAGCACAAGGAATTGATGCTGCCTGGGGCTGGGGATTAGGGTGGGGAGTGGAGCTGCGGATGTAATGGGTGTGAAGAAGCCCTGGGGCAGGAGCAGGGCTCCCTTCCTTGTGCCCCAGGGCCAGGTGTGGGTCTCCCCTGCCTGCTGCATGGCTGAGGGGCTGCTCGGGCTTTGCTGTGCCCATGTGCAGTGGCTCTGTGCTGACTCGGTGCTGCTCAGTTATGCAACCAGCCCCTGCCCTGCGGGGAAGCTTCATCCTGTAGAATAGTCCAGGCAGGGCTGACAAACAGCGAGGGACAGTCCTACCCTGGGGCTGTTTGCTTAAAACCCAGCTGCCTTCTGCAGCACCCCCCTCCATCTGCAGCCAGGGCCAGCCCTGAGTCTGCACTGAGCACACAGTCCATGACGCAGCTGCAGCAGGGATGGATGCACTTGCATAACAGTGTGCCCAGATAGGAGCCCAGCACCAGCCATCTGCTCTCTGCACACCCAGAGCCTTCCTCTGCCTTCTTGCTGGGGTGGCAGAATGTTCCATGTGCTTCCTATAGGGTTTTCCTAATGCGTTGTATAGTTGGGCATTCAAATCAACCGACCTCTGGCTGTTACTAAAGGCAGAGCTTAAATTGGAAACCTGCTTGAGAAGCTTAAAATGGGATTTAGAGCAGGGCCTGGATTCTGCTCCCAGGTAATTGAAGTTGGCCAAGAAACTCATGTAACCTAATGTGATTGGGGCACTGGTGCATAGCTTGGGATGCTGCTGGGTCATGTTCTTAGGACAGCTTCAGCCCCTGCTCAGCCTTGGTTTATGTCATAACCTGGAAAGCTGTAACCCTCCCTGAGCCAGGCAATAGGAATTCTGCTTGTTCTTTGCTGTGTCACCGACCTCTTCTGATTTTGCTTCATGGCCCAGCAGCTTTGCCTTTAGCTCTGCTATGGATGCTGCACACAAGCCCATCAGCAGGCTCTGGTACCCTTCCAAAACGCAGGTGTGGGGTGTCAGTTCTCAGCCAGGGAAGTGTTTGTGGCTTGCTTTCTGCTGGAGATGAACCTGTTATCTCCTCTTATCACCTTGTTCCCCCTCCCAGCTGTGGTCCAGTAGAGGTGAGCAGCATTTCCCTGGGCAAAATGAAGTTGTTCTCTTCATTTGCACACTGTGCTGAAGGCTGTTCCCAAAGGGATGCCAAAGGACAAAAGCCTTTCTAATACAATAAGGCAGTGGCTGTATTGGGCTGATAATGGTCTCCTGATGGCTGTGTAATGGCCCAGCTCTGCACTGCCCCCACTCTAAGGAGTATTTCACCCCCTTCTTGTCCTTTGGAGAAGGCTGGGGCTGTTTTCCTCTCTCCTTTCCTGCAATGTGAGCATCTTTATGTGTCTCTTTGGTAGCTGCCCTCTTGAGTTAGCAGGGGTAGATTGGGCTCTCCATGGCTGCTGCTTCAGTGGGACCCTCTGATGCTGTGGGGTTGTGCAGTGTGGGCTGGGCAGGCCTCAGTTGTGCAAGTGCTGGGTTACCCCTCCTTCCCCTGTGCTGAGCCCTCTTGTACCACACAGACCTCCCTGCCACCTCCCATCACTGCCATGCCCCACGCATTGGTGTCATCCTCATCCGCTTTGGTGCTGGATGAGGACCCCACAGGCTGCTGCTGCTGCTGCTGAATGAACATTCCACCTGATTAAAACCTTTAAATGGCATCCGTGGAGGGATTGAAAGCTCTGGAGCCAGCCCCTGAAACAACGTGCGTCAGTGGGGTGAGCTGCCCTGCCTCAGTGCTCAGCACTAGTGGAAGCCTGGCTCTATGTGCCAATGGAGCTGCCCCACTGGAGAAACCTTCCCTTGGGCAAGATTCCTCCTTCCCCCCTGTCCTGGTGCCTCTCAGATCTTCTCAGAGAGGCTTCTTCCTGCCTGCAGCCTGCAAAGGCAGCATCTCCTGGTTAACCTCTGCTGAGCCCCAAGGTGCCTGCGGCCCCGGCTCCTGCTGTGAGCAAAGGGGCAGCCTCTCCCTTTAGAAATGCAGTCCTCAGGCCTGGATTCCTTCAATGACATTCCCGAGGGCAAAGGGATGTGAGCAGTTTCCTCAGTGCTTCAGCTCTGCTTGGTGTCTCTGCAGAGCCCCTTGCCTGCTCCTGGTGGCAAAGGACCTGCTCCTGCAAAAGGAGGGGGGGTAAATTCAGCCCCTATATTGCTGTTTTCCATGTAACTGAGCTCAGAGCTTAGGTCTGGGGGAAAAGGAACTCCTGATAGGAGCTCCCTCCATCAGGTGGGTCCCAGCTTTCATTAAACCACCCCTGATGCTCCCTGCATCTGCTCTGCTGGTCCATCCTCTGATGGTTGTGACACCCTGAATGATGCCTTTCCAGCACAGGAGTGATGCTTGGGCACGTGTTCCTCTTCTGGGTCCAGCCCTGCTGCTGGATGGGGTGTCACAGGGGCTTTGCTGGGATGCAGACAATGCAGGTGGAAAATGCTAGTGGGTTATGTGCAGAGATGGGGTATTTCTGCATCCCCGACTTGGAGGGCAGGAGGCTGCAGTGCCGGGGCTGTGGGTGAATGGATGCAGCCCCCTTGGTGCTACATGGCCTGGGGGGATGCTGCGTGCTGGGCTTTGACCAAAGCCCTTCCTGTTCTTCCCTAAAACCCCTGGCACTCAGCATCCTCTTGGGCAGGTACAGCCCATCCTGCTCCTCTTCCCATTGCACAGAAGTGGATTTTCACCTCCTCTTGCAGAGCCACTTGAGCAGCCGAGCTGGTGCTGATGCACAGGGTGAGCAGTGCAGGGTGGCCCTGTTGTCACAGCTTGTTCCACCTCCAGTGAAGGACCTCATGCTGGCATCACGTGGAACCTCAAGGCTGTAACACTCGTCCTTGTTGCAGCAGGGCTGTCACTGCAGTGAATCCCATGGGATGAGGCTGCCTCCGGCACCAATCCCGTTACCTTTGCTCCTTCCACCCAGTGCAGTTGGTGTGGGCAATGCTGTTTGGGGCTGGGTTATGAGAAGCTGTGCATTCACTTTGAGTCCTCCCAGACCCTCAGGATGCTTTGGTTAAGGCTTAGGAATGAAAGGAGAGGTGCAGGGAGCACATGGGATGAGCAGTCCTGCTGCAGTCTGGGTTGGTGGCAGGGCACTGTCCCAGTGCAGTAACTACCACAAACCCACTGCCATACCTGACCCCTCTTTCTCCTCTCTTGCTTTCCTTGCAGGTTTATTTACCAGGGACCCATGATCTCCATTATTTACGTGCAAGGAGGGAAGCTGAAGCTAAGGGATGCTGAGGATGAGGATGATGAGGATGATACAGAAGATCTCTGGCAATGTGAAATCTTTGGGTGTTACTTTCTGTTGGGATGGGGTGTTTGGGGGGCGCGGGAGGGGGCTGCAGGGGCCTATGGAAGAGCAGCAGCCGTGCTCCTGAGACTTAAACACAATCCAGAGAGCAGAGCTGCCCTTGCCCCTGTCCCCTGTGTTGCCGTTTGACTCTGTAGATGCTTCAAGACAGGATCCAGTTCCGTAAGGAGGTGGGAATCAGCCTCCAGGCACCAGCTCTGGGTCTGGCTGGGCACAGCTTTGGGTTTGAAGCTATTGCTTCTGCAGAGGGGAAACGGGAGCAAGGCGATTGCCAGGTCTGTACCAGCAGTGCAGTGCTTTAGAAACAGAGTCCCTCTGACCCGGTGTTACAAACAGCTACATCATTCCATAGCCATGCAGCTGCCGACCAGGGGGATGCTGCCCTGGCTGGGAGCAGCTGACATTAGGATAGAGTAGCATAAAACCAAGCTGGGAAGGCATTTAGTTGTGATCAACAGACGTTTGTTCTCCCTGTGCTTGGTACCTCACAGAGGGTGATGGGGAGCCCATCAGCATGTTTCCAGTGCACAGAAACAAAGCAGTCCTCTGCTCTGATCCATTGAATGCCAACCTTCTGCTGTTGGGAACTTGGGAGAGGAGAAGGTTTGGCCTCAATGGCTCAGGGGCTGCATTCTAGCCTCCCATAAACCACTCTTCCCTGCTAGCTAACCACCTCCAGGAAGCAAATGCTGCTGTTTAGGTTTGGTTACACACAGTACAGCTCAGGTAAGGAGATTGCAACCTCAGGCTGAGCAGTTAATACTCTATTTCCTTGCCTATATTTAGAGCAACACTAATATTCCAGGGCTGACCCCGTGTTGATGGTCTTTAGACTTTGCTCACTGTAAATGCAATGTAAAGCAGCACCTCTTCACCACCCCGTGGGTTCTGAACCAGCTAAAGCCATTTCTCATCAGGCTACAACACCAGGTTGGTCTGACCTGGGTGCTCAACCAGGGCCATGGGCAGCACAGGGTCCCTGTGAGCCCTTGCTATGGGAGCTGCTCCTTGCCTCTGGGCAGGCTGCAGCTTTCCTGTGCCATCACTGGATCACTGAACTGGCAGCACCTCCTTGTATCTCCTCAGTGTTAACCTTGCTGACCTCATGGGAATGAATGGGAATGGAGGAAATTCAGGTGGGCTGAGGCAGGGCTAAAGCAGGGATGGGTTCCTCTTTCTGTCTTCCATCCCTTCCAGGCCACAGAGCTCAGGCTGTCACTGCAGGAAGGCCAGGTCCCTCTTAGGAGGATGATGCCAGGAGGCTCCAGACCATCTGTGGCTTGTGAGGGTTTGGACAGCACAAACTCAGCACCGAGCCCCTGTTCCCACACTGCTCTTGTGGAGATGCTGCTGTGCTCTGTGGCCAGCCCATGCCTGTACCCATGGCCAGGGTGAGCAGTGTGGGGCTGGGCAGCAGGCTCTGAGCTGCACTCACAGGGGCTTTGCCTGCTCTCATTTCTCTCTGACAAGCAGCAGATCCCTGCAGTGGCAGTGCCAAGCTCCAGAGCCCTGCATCCCACGGGAGGGCTGGACGCACAAGCACAGTGTTAATGCCCTGAGCACTGCACCATCCTTCCTCCACCTGACAGAGCCTTTGCTCCTGACTGTTACAACTGTTAGAACTTAACCTTGGCTTGAATGGGTGCAGCAAGAGGGCTTCTTTACCCTCCCAGCCCTGCTCATGTGGCTTTCCCCATGGAAGAGCCCCTCACCATGCATTACATCCCAGTTGAAGGGAGCTTCCTAGCAGGTCTCATGTATGGAAACCAAGCCTGAAACATGGGACATGGAAGCTGATGGGTGAGCTGCTCACTGGGACCGCTGCCTCCAGCCATTTGGAAGCGGGTAGGAAGCATCCTGGGAGGGTCAGCCCTCTTGCTGCATCCCTTTTTCCAGGCCGCCTTCAAACCTCACGTCTCCACCTCAGCTTTTGCATTGCAGATGTGTTTTTCAAGCAGCTTGATGTTAGTGAGCTAGACCGTAGTGCCTTACTTAGGATTTAGCAAACACTTGCAAGGATGAGTCCCAGGGCTGCTAGCCTTTCCAGTGTGGATGGGTCCCTCATTGGTTTGTCCTATGAAGAGCATTTTCTCCCCGATGATTTTGCTGCTGTTTGTGCTCGACTCCCCACACTGTACAGGAACCTGCCTTGTTTACAGCTCCCAGCATCTCTCCTCCCAGTTACATTGACCCAGACCAGCATTCCCTCTGGAACAAGGTGGGAACAGCTCAAACCTGCATGTGCTGTGGGGATGGAGGATGTTTAGGCTTCTCTTTCCAGGTGGGTCTATCTGGGCATCCTCTGCCCAGCTCCTCCAGGCTGAACTTCTCCCTCTGCTGTCAGTGTTCAACATGAGGATGCGCTGCTGGGAAAACAACCTTAAGACAGCAGCACTGAGCCTGAAGCTCATTGCTCAGCCCAGGGCCAGGCTGCTTCCATCTCATCCTGGCCACCCTGAGCCTGAGCACCCAGGGCAGTGCTGGGGGACCCTGTTGTGAGCTCCAGGCAGTGCCTGCACGGAGGGAGTGATTGTGTGAAACTGTTTACTTCTGACTATGCTGTTTACAAGAGGGATGGGATGGGGATGGGGGGGGGGGAAACAAGCCAAGCCTCAGGAGAGGTAGGAAATGTGTTATCTGCACCAGGCCGACACCATTGGCATCACGCAGGCGTCGCGGGGGTCTTCCAGCCGGCTTTGGTCCATGGGGAGGAGAGAGCAGAGGTGGGTCTGGCCTAGAGGGGTTAGGTTAGCTCCCCCTTGTCCCCTTGCTGCCGTGTCTGAGGTTCAGCAGTGCTAGTGACAGATAAGAGTTACCCCTGTGGTCTTCCTTTACTCCTCAGGACCCAGCTCCTTCACATATCAGAGGCTCCCAGAGCCTTTCTGGAGCAATAAGACTGACCTCGAGCATTACCATCGTTGTGGAAGTCTTCCGTTGTGTGCATTCCGCCTCCTCCGTATGCAGTACCGAGTCTGGGTTTAAGCCTGCCAAGAGCCACGGGGCAGCTGCTTCAGGGCACAAACTGGGCTGTGTTTCCCTGTGCTTTCTGCAGGTCATGAGAGCAGGGAAACGTTGCTGCTTCCCTTCATCCCCCCAGGCCCAAGCATCACACTGCAGCTGCCTGCGGCGAGGGGGGTCCTGGTCCCTTTCTGGTGCTGCTGCTGCAGCACGGGGGTGCTGATGGGATGGGATGCAGCGTGTTACCTGTTATCCTCCCATCCCATCAGCAGCAGCTGGGAAGTGGAGCCCCTGCTCCTGTGCTGCTGCAGCAACAGCTCCATCACAAAGGGAGGTGCTGCTGGTGGTGGGGAGAGCAGCGCCTGCAGCTCCTCTGCTTAGCACGTTCCAGCATGGGGTCCTTCACATCCCAACCCGTTCCACCCTCGGAGCAGGGCACTGGGTGCTGCTGGAAGGGAAGCCCAGGAGCTGCTGTGTCCCAGTCCTGTTTCCCTGCAGCCTGCCCCATGCTTTTAACCCCGAGGGTGATGCCCAGGCTGTAGTGTCCCCATTCTGCTTGTCCCCTCCTGCAGCTGCCTTCAGCTTGGTCCTCCAGGAGACAGCTTGGCCATTGAGCTGCTTCCCTATGGAGGGAGCTGCTGGAAGCCCAGTGAGCCCTGGCTCTCCCTGCAGCCTCTGGGCCAAGCAAGTGGGAGCCAAGGTTTAAACCCAGACTCCAACCTAAAGATAATGGTCTTAGTAAAGGAATCTGTATTTCTCTTTTTGTTTTGCACAGAAACTGGTGATTTAGGACCTACGTGTGAACAACTTTATAGACATATTTTTTGTACTTGGTTTACTCGCATTGGTATGAGACGTTATTTAAGTTCTTTGAACACTGTGGATACCCTGATGTGTATGAGTGGCAGAGGCTTTGTAAGTTAAAAGAGACGTTTGTGTGAATAAAAGCTATTTGATGGGGTTGAAAAGCCACACACAACTTGAACACCGCATCTGTGTGCTCGTTCCTCAACCAGCACCAGGTTAGGAAGGAACGGGGGTCCCTGAGCAGTGATGGACACACACCAGGGCTCTAAACTGGCACCAGCTCCATGATGGAGAGCTAAACCTGAGTGTGGCTAAGCCCATCCTGAGCTATCCAGCCTGACCCCGGGGGTTTAGGGCACTAAACCAAGGCACAGTGGCTGGTGCCAACCAGAACGTGGCTCCGCTGCCGTTTATCCTCACTGGGATTAGGATTAGCCCTGTTCCCACTGCAGGCACCAAGTAGGCCATGGTGATCAGTGACATAGGCAAGCTCAGCCCCTGGCTGCGTGCTGCCCATGGGGACACCTTCCTGTCCTGCCCCTTCCCTCTCATCCCTGTGCATTGGGAGCCAAGGGATGCGCAGCCTCTTGCTCACCCGCTCTGGAGGTGGCTGCAGACCCAGCAGGGGGATGCCCTGCAGAGCTGCTGCCATAGGAGCCACAGTGATCCCTTTGCACAGATCCCAGCTGCACAGACCCAAACCGGGCTGCTCAAAGCAGCTGGGACCTCCCAAAGCCCCGTTTCCAGCGGGAATCCCAGTGCTGTGGCTCACATCCATAATGGGAAACGCACAGCGAGGCTGGGCCACGTCCTGCGGCGATGAGGACATTCCCTTTGCACAGGGAGCACGGGATGTCCCAGCACACGGGGCCATGCCCTGTGCTCACCATTCCTTGTATAACAGCCCCAGTGCCTGCACTGGGACGTGCTCAGCAGCCCCAGCACCGTGGCCTCAGGCTCCCCCCGCACCGCATCAGCATTGTGCTCCCTAATCGCTGCTGACAGGCACCTGAAATGGGTGATCTCAGCACAGTGGGGCCGCACTGGGGCTGGTTGGCTGCAACCAGTGCGATGCTGAGGGACTGGAGCTGCCCTGTTCACACACAGGCAGCAAATGGGGTGGGGGGCAAACTGGGTTTCCAGTGCATCTCCCAGTTCCAGGTGAGTTATCTCAGGG